GAGGTGGAACACCTGGAGAGCTGGTGCAGAGAGAATAACCTTCACATCAATGTGAAGAAGACAAAGGAGATGATTGTGGACTTCAGAAGGAACAAAAACACCTACACCCCCCTGAACATAAGAGGATCTGCGGTGGAAGTGGTCTCCAGCTACAAGTACTTGGGTGTACACATGAATGACAACCTCAGCTGGAGCAACAACACCACCAGCCTGATCAAGAAAGCTCATCAGAGACTCTACTTCCTCAGGCGACTGAGACGAGCTGGTCTGGGAAGCTCAGTCCTCACCTCCTTCTACAGGTGTGCAGTGGAGAGCATCCTGTGCTCGAGCATCAACGTGTGGCATGGAGGCTGCACAGCTGCAGAAAGAAAAGCTTTGCAGAGAGTGTTGAAGGCTGCACAGAAGTCTGCTGGAGTCAGTCTCCCCACCATCTACACCTCCAGATGCAGGAAGAGGGCCACCTGCATCATGAAGGACCCCACTCACCCAGCACACACACTTTTTGCCCCACTCCCCTCAGGAAGGAGGTTAAGGAGCATTAAGTGTAGAACCACTAGACTGAGGAACAGCTTCTACCCTGAGGCTGTTAGACTCATGAATCTCTAACTAGAATAATCACTGTGAAAAACCATATCATGTTGCTGCTGATCTGTTTCATGTTGCTGCTGATCTGTTTCAATGTTGATGTGTTCATGCGTGCACATCTGCTCACAGACTCATGTTCATGTTTGTGCTGATGTTCAATGTTTTATGTTATGAGTGCTTAGTGTATATTTAGTTGATGTTTTTCTTAGTTCATATCTTAGATGTTATTACTGTTTTTCTTATACATTTTATTGTTGGATGTAACTGGGACCCTGTGTACATAATTTCGCTCCACCACATGTACCACATGAGGTGCGAATGACAATAAAGAAACTCTGACTCTGACTCTGACTCTAAAGGATGCGTACAAATTGAGAATAACAAGTGAAAATAAAATGGCATTTAAAAAAAATGCAACCAAAAAAAACTGCTAGGTTGTAAGGTGATGTAGAAAACACAAAACAAGAACATGTCTGCATTGTTTTTTTGTTTGTTTGTTGCCACAGAAGAAGAGAAAGCTCGCAATGTCAAAAGTCAATGTTTCTTTGTTTGTTATACGCATCACATGCGGTACATGTGGTGGAACGAAATTGTGTACACATGATCCCAGTTACAGCCAACAAAAGTATAAATTGTAAAAGAAAAACAGTAAAAAGATCTAAGCTATGAACTGAGAAAAACAAACTAAAAATATGCTAAGCACTAGTAGTATAAAAACAATACGCCGAACAGCAGCACGAACATGAGTCTGTGTGAGCAGATGAGCACGCATGAACACAGCAACATGAAACAGATCAGCAGCAACATGTGATTTTTCACAGTGATTATTCTGGTTAGAGATTCATGAGTCTAACGGCTCTCCACTGCACACTGTAGAAGGTGGTGAGGACTGAGCTTCCCAGACCAGCTCGCCTCAGTCGCCTGACAAAGTAGTCTCTAATGAGCTTTCTTGATCAGGCTGGAAGTATTGTTGCCCCAGCTGAGGTTGTCATTCTGGTGCACACCCAAGTACTTGTACTTGTTCACATATTTTGATTAACATTCGTGTTAAGGCCCTGCAAAATCCAGACTAAAAGATGTAATAACTAGAAAACTAGAGAAACTGCATTTCCTGTGAAAATGCAGTGTGAATGCTTAATGCAGAAAAACTTACTGAAAAACAACTGAAATTAGCTATAAAACATACATAAAAGTAGCTGAAAATGTAGAACAAGCTTAAATTAGCAGAAGAAAGTGGAAAGAACACATTTGCCCAATTAGACTTAAAGAAGCAGACATGAGCACAAAAAAGTGGAAATTATCTGAAAAAAGCAGAAATTTGAGAAAAAAAAGATTGAAAGGTAGCTAAAAAATAATAAAAAAAACCTTAAATTACCAGAAGGACGTGGAGAGAACACATTTTTGGTGAATTAAGCTGGAAAAAGTTGACAGGAGTGTCAAAAATGTGAAATTATCTGAAAATGCTAGCTGAAAATAGTCAAGCTGAAATAACTAGCATAAATAAGCTGAAAGGAGCACAACAAGCTGAAATTAGCAGAAAGAAGTTAATTAGGCTGACAGTAACAGAAATTACCACAAAACTTTAAAAAAATATCTGAAAACAGCTTAAATTAGCTGAAGATGCTAAACATGTAGCTGAAAGGGTAGAACAAGCATTAGCATTAGCAGAAAGAACACATTTGCCCAATTAGGCTGAAAGAAGCCAAAATGAGCACAAAGAAGTGGACATTACATGAAAAAAATATTGAAATTAGCAAATCACAGCTGAAAAGTATAGCTAAAAAAAAAGCAGAAAGCTTACTGGTAAATTACACGAAGTGAGCACATTTTTGTTAGATTAGGTTGAAAAAGTTTAAATGAGCGCAAAAAAAAAGTGGAAATAGCCCCTCAAAAATCTAAAATTACCATAAAAACAGCTAAATAGTAGCTAAGATAACTGAAACTTGCATAAATAAGCTGAAAGGAGCATAACAAGTTGAAATTAGCAGAAAGATGTTAGAAGAAGCACAAAAATGTTGGTTAGCAGAAGAATCTGAAAGGAGCACAAAACAGCTAAAATTAGCTGATAGTAGCTGAAAAAAAGTTTAAATTTGCACAAAGCTGAAAGAAGCTGAACCAGAACAAAATGTGAAAGAAGCAGGAAAAGGTGGTAAACAGATCTAAAGAGTTGAAGGATGTAAAATGAGCTCAATTCATTTTCTGAGACAAAAAATGGCAGAAAAGGCTAAATATTTCAAAAAGCTAAAGGTGCACCAATATCAAATGTCATTGCACCCTTCTCCTGAACGTTTTGATTTGTTGAAATAGCTCAGAAATTGTGGAACGAGAAATATGACGAAAAACGTACAAAAGAAAAATGTGTCACGGTAATAAATGCTTCATAACCACTCGCACAATTAGTTACGGTGATCCCACAAAGCTCACAGAAAACTTTCCACAGATGATGCCACTGTAATGACTAGATCTGTGCACAAACTGCAAACAGAAGAACCAGAAAGGCTAATAAGGCAAAAGTAATTCCTTTTTTTATTTACAATCATATTACAAAACCCACACATTAAAAGGGACAAAGTCACAATACAGTTTGTAAAAATTAAACCAGCTTGAGTTTCTCAGCCAATTTCCAAGACTCAGGTGAGTTCAAGGGTGAACTTTTTTTTAAAAAATTTTATTTACCATTTCCTTAAATTTACTCGATTATGTAACCGAACTAAAACCATCCAGATGTTTTGGCAGTTTCTATGAAACCCCCTAGCCCTTTAGTTTAAAAACTCACATTTTTCCCAACATGCTCTTTAAAAAGAAATGGTGTCGAGAGACTGCTGCCCGAGGATCCCAGATGCATTTTATCCTTTTCGTGTACAATTTAATCGAAACACTGCACTTATTCTAAACTATAGGTGGTGACATGTCTTAATTCTCAAGTTGGTAAAAAAAAAAAAAAAGCATAAGTTAAAACTAAATCGTATACTGTAGCATGTACGTAAGTAACCATTAATTCAGCATAAACTCAAACCATTTTGTTCTTGACGTCCAACTAAACATAAAATAAAGCCTGTAAAATGATGACAGTACATCTGAGCTGGGGACATAAACTAAATGAAATGTAATGTACTAAAAAAATATTGTTCAGATAGGGTTGCAATAAAAAAAATAACAATAAAAAAAAATCTAACAGTATTCACCATCTCTTTTATGGGATACCAAATTTAGTTTCTGGTTAGGATTTGTGCAAAAGGTCACACTCACTGCTACACACACCTTTGAGCCAAACCTCATTAAAAACTGATCTTTTTGGTAAAGTCACCATCTAGTGGCTTGATGAAAAAAATACATGGAACGTTGCTATTGATTTGTTGAACTTAGTTCAAATATTTATTCCATTCATCCATTATCTTTACCCACTTCTTCCTTTTCAGGTCACAGGGGTCACTGGTGCCCGTATCATTCCTTTTCATTAAATCAATTTGTCTTCTACTGAAAAACGCAGCCCCATGTTTTAAACTACCGGTAACTCACATAAGCACTAGACAATTTTTGACTTTGTACGCTGTAAGTAAAAATACATTTTAAATTTGTTTTAACATCTTTATAAACATTCTGAAGGAATGAAAATGTATATGTAAAAAAAAAAAACTTTGAGCCTATAACTCAGTCACCAAATCCATGTAGACGTTCTAATAGTTCATCAAACCGTCACTCTGCAGCTCTTTAACAGGTGTTTTAAATTTAGCTCCGTTTTATTTGCAGTAAACAGGAATATGAAATTCATGAGCAACTTATCGACAGTTGACTTGGTGATGAAAATTATATCTTGTGACAGACAACAGAGACGTTGGGTGGTGCATTTTGAAGTTATAAAGAAAAACACAGTAACAAATTGAGAAAAATAAAATATTAGGGTTCCTCCTCTGCTAGGTCACAGTCCCTGCTGGGAGCCTGAGTGTCAGCAGCATTATCAAACTGGTTAGATGAGTAGTGAAGGAGTGGGTTTCTTCCCTGGCCAAGCTTCTTTGGCGTACTTCTTTTTGCGTGGCTCGTTGTGGGTCTCTGGCATGTAGGGGATTGTTACAGGTGTGGGGTTGAGGGTGACAGGGGGCTGGGGAGCCTCTGGGGCCAAGTCTACCTCTGGTGCAGGATTAGGGAAGGGCAGAGGAAGCCCTCCCTGCATGGCAGCCCCTCCTGGAGCTCCTGTAGGCTTGTGCTCATGGCTGGTGGGAGGCAGGTCACCATAGAGACCACCACCTAAGCTGTAGCCGTGCATTCGCTTTGAAGTCAGGTCTTCAAGACCCAAAGTGTTTTGACTGTCTGATCGTCGTTTCTATAAAAAGGAATGAAAGATTAACAATTTCAAAAGTCAAATCCTTGAAGCTGATTCCATTTTCAGGTTCGTACACTTTGCCTTTACAGCTTACACTCGAGAGGCACTGGTGCCATGTTCACACTCCTCAAGAGCACGTACATTTTTAATGAAAGCATTTAATGTCTCAACACAGGCGTTTAAAACCCGTCAGGTGCAACGGATCATATTAAATACAGAAGATTCAGATTTACCTTGATGGGGATGACAGCTGTCTGTATCATGTTTCTAAAGCGTCCAACTGAGGGATCGATGTCCTCTGCGGGGGGGTGAGAAAAGACCATTTTCACAATTTTTTAAATTTCTTTGTACTAAAGTTAGAATTCACACACCTGATCGGCCGTTTATAAAACACGTCAAAAACCTTCAACATAGAATTCAATAAAGCTAACAGCAATAAGGCGCATTAATTGACGTGTTCACAGACTTTTTAAAAACAAACATTTAAAGAATTATTAATCAAATTGGGATTTAAATTTAGGAATTCAGATTTAAATTAAACTTTTACTAAAGAATCATAAAAGAATTTGTGCAAAGGCAAATAATCTGTAACAAACTAATATACCAAAAATAATGTTTTACTGCGATTACAAAAGAATGTGCTTACACAACTATTCAAGTACTTTTTGTGCTTTAGAGGTAGATTTACTTTGATCAGTACCTGGATTAATTATAGAGTCCTCTTCACTGAAAGTAACTCTAGAGCTTCTGCGTTTTCTTTTAGGCCTCTGGATTTCCAGGTTGCCTTCTTCAATGGTCAGGAGGGAGATGCGCTTGTTGTGAGCCGTGTTGAACTCCGTTAGGTTCTGGCAGGAAACATAAGTCACAAAAAGGTCATTGCATTAAAACCAGGATTTTAGTGGTGTAACAGTACACGTGGGTGTACTGAACCGTTTCGCTACAGCGCGTTCGGTTTGGTCCACGTGTGTAGCGTTTCGGTTATTTTTTTTCAATCATTAAATTATATTAACAAGAAATTATGCGCCGCGGACCTAAAGTTCTTAAGCGTGTTTCAGCACGGCACTATTATCTTGCAGCAGCAGCATTAGCCTAGCATCTCGTTGCGGTCTCCTGTTTGGGAACAATATCAGAGTCAGAGTCAGAGTCAGAGTTTCTTTATTGTCATTCGCACCTCATGTGGTACATGTGGTGGAGCGAAACTATGTACACAGGGTCCCAGCCACATCCAACAATAAAATGCACAAGAAAAACAGCAATAACATCCAAGATATGAACTAAGAAAAACATCAACTAAATATACACTAAGCACTCATAACATAAAACATTGAACATCACCACAAACATGAACATGAGTCTGTGAGCAGATGTGCATGCATGAACACATCAACATTGAAACAGATCAGCAGCAACATGAAACAGATCAGCAGCAACATGAAACAGATCAGCAGTAACATGATATGGTTTTTCACAGTGATTATTCTAGTTAGAGATTCATGAGTCTAACAGCCTCAGGGTAGAAGCTGTTAATATGGCTTTCTTGTTAAAAGGCAAGTGAACAAATCCAAAGCTGTGTGTCGACGTTGTTTCACAGAGATTGTTTCTGCCGCAGGCAACACATCTAACTTGTTAACGCTCTTGAAACGACATCATCCGAATGTGAACGTCTCTACTAGTAGCTTTGCTCAAAGACCGACAGCAGCAGCATTTACAGGTCCTTCTAAAAAAAATTAGCATATTGTGATAAAGGTCATTATTTTCCATAATGTAATGATAAAAAAATAAACTTTCATATATTTCAGATTCATTGCACACCAACTGAAATATTTCAGGTCTTTAATTGTTTTAATACTGTTCAGTTATGCACTCAATACTTGGTCGGGAATCCTTTTGCATGAATGACTGCTTCAATGCGGCGTGGCATGGAGGCAATCAGCCTGTGGCACTGCTGAGGTGTTATGGAGGCCCAGGATGCTTCGATAGCGGCCTTAAGCTCATCCAGAGTGTTGGGACTTGCGTCTCTCAACTTTCTCTTCACAATATCCCACAGGTTCTCTATGGGTTCAGGTCAGGAGAGTTGGCAGGCCAATTGAGCACAGTAATACCATGGTCAGTAAACCATTTACCAGTGGTTTTGGCACTGTGAGCAGGTGCCAGGTCGTGCTGAAAAATGAAATCTTCATCTCCATAAAGCTTTTCAGCAGATGGAAGCATGAAGTGCTCCAAAATCTCCTGATAGCTAGCTGCATTGACCCTGCCCTTGATAAAACACAGTGGACCAACACCAGCAGCTGACATGACACCCCAGACCATCACTGACTGTGGGTGCTTCACACTAGACTTCTGGCATTTCCTTCTCCCCAGTCTTCCTCCAGATTCTGGCACCTTGATTTCCGAATGACATGCAAAATTTGCTTTCATCCGAAAAAAGTACTTTGGACCACTGAGCAACAGTCCAGTGCTGCTTCTCTGTAGCCCAGGTCAGGCGCTTCTGCCACTGTTTCTGGTTCAAAAGTGGCTTGACCTGGGGAATGCGGCACCTGTAGCCCATTTCCTGCACATGCCTGTGCACGGTGGCTCTGGATGTTTCTACTCCAGACTCAGTCCACTGCTTCCGCAGGTCCCCCAAGGTCTGGAATCGGCCCTTCTCCACAATCCTCCTCAGGGTCCGGTCACCTCTTCTCGTTGTGCAGCGTTTTCTGCCACACTTTTCCCTTCCCACAGACTTCCCACTGAGGTGCCTTGATACAGCACTCTGGGAACAGCCTATTCGTTCAGCAATTTCTTTCTGTGTCTTACCCTCTTGCTTGAGGGTGTCAATGATGGCCTTCTGGACAGCAGTCAGGTCGGCAGTCTTACCCATGATTGCGTTTTTAAGTAATGAACAAGGCTGGGAGTTTTTAAAAGCCTTAGGAATCTTTTGCAGGTGTTTAGAGTTACGTCGTTGATTCAGATGGTTAGGTTAATAGCTTGTTTAGACAACCTTTTCATGATATGCTAATTTTTTGGGACAGGCATTTTGGGTTTTCATGAGCTGTATGCCATAATCATCAGTATTAAAACAAAGACCTGAAATATTTCAGTTGTTGTGCAATGAATCTGAAATATATGAAAGTTTCATTTTTATCATTACATTATGGAAAATAATGACCTTTATCACAATATGCTAATTTTTTGAGAAGGACCTGTATACAATCTTTATCAGGTAATTCAGTCCAAAGCAATAACACAAGCTGTAGGGAGTTTTTAAAGCTATGGATCTACGTCCAAATGTTGTTGATGCGCTGACTTTAATTATGATTAAAGTTCTTGAGCCCTGCTATGACATCCCATCACGTCAACACTTCAGCCAAAAAGTTGCAGCAGCACTTTATGAAAAAGCTAAAACTGATATTGTCCACAAGCCGGACCCAAGATTTAAAGCCCTGCCACATTGATGATGAGCGAGAGAGGATATTCAACCACCTCAGATGATTACCGTGCAAGAGGTATTGTTATTGTATTATTGTGATCTAATTAACCTTTTAATTTAAAATTATAATCTTGACTCATTTTTTTAATCTCTGTGTTGTTTGCAGTCTGAGGATGATAGCAGCTGAGTCTTCTTCATCCACCAGTTCACCTCCAGCTAAGACGTCTGTAATGACTGAACTTGTTTACTTGGCATATTTTCAAAATAAACATTTTGTAAGTCTTTATTTTGACCTTTTTTGTACCGAAAATTAACCGAACCGAGCCCTCCTTGAAACTGAACCGAACCGAAATGTGATTTTAGTGTACCGTTACACCCCTACAGGATATATATTTTACCAATCCCACATCAAACTGGACTGAATCCTTATAACTACTATCATTAACTCACGAGAAAAGTAAAGATGGCACAAACAGATCATTTAAAAAATTATGTTTGTTAAACGTTTGCAACATTTTAAAAGACCAACAATTTCAATGAAACTGATTAAAACTATTCAGCCTAACAAGAAGTCAGCCCAAAACCCAGGACACAATGAAATATCTAAACATAAATTTTAAAAATATATTTTAGAACATTAACAAATAAATGTACCTCAAGCTCCATCTCTTCCTCCGGAAGCCCGATCAGTCTTTTAAGCTCCTCCTCCTCGCCCGTCTTACTGTCTCCTGTGCCGGTGCTGCCTTGGGTTTGAGGTTTCTCTCTGATGGTGTAGGTGCGCGTCGAAGCCCCAAAAGATATTGTTGAGTCTATGGGAACCTGCTGAGGTTTGTGGGGCTCCAGGCGAATGTGTCCAAGGAAGGTACCATGTGCTAAAATGGTGACAATCAAAAGCAGTTTTTTTAGAAATCAGAGAAGTATTTCAGGAACAATACATCGAGATGATATTGTAAACAAATCTAAATATTTAATTCATATCGTTAAACATATTTTGTGATAATTTTCCATTAGACTCCATAATGTATATTAATGTCAAACTTTATTTTGACACATTAAATGCCACTTCCCATGTTTAATATAAGCATCTTTGGCCCCAAATTAATCTACTAGAGATCAGTTAAAAAACATTGAAAACATGTAACTCTTTTTTTTTTTTTTTTTTAAAGCAAACTATGACGTAAGGTTTTTATATGCAATGCAATTCTAAGGCTTGCATCCATAAATGTGGCAAAGGAAGATCTAACTTATTCTCTTCTAATTAATCTAAAAAGCTTTTTGGGGCCATCATTTTAAACACAAAGTACATCAGAGATGCACAACAACAATGCAAATAAAACCAGAATATTGTTGCCGCCATGATAACTAACACCAGGTGTAATCTAGTAGGAAAAAAAACACCAGGGCTAAAGTTTATGTTTTACACATAGCTGATGATTAACACCGTGTTTGATGCATCTTCAAATTAAGAAAATAATAAATCTGAATATTTGAAATACATGAAATACATGATAGACATACAAAGTACAACCGTTTACAGTTTAGAAACCAGAACAAGAAATCATTTTGCATGTTAACTTTGACATTAAACCAACTAAAAAAACAAACAAACAATTAGCTATAATAAAACTTGTTTCCTGACCACATAAAACATTTAATTTGGCAGCTGATGTTTCTCTTCACACAACAAACGTAATCTGCATCAGGACACTAAAAATGAATGTGAATGCGTGAGTGTGATCTCTTACTGCTATTAAGGTCTATAAGGAAGAGCCTTTTTAGATGTTTGTGGTAGACTAGCGCTGCGTGAACTCGTGAGCATGACTGATGGTCAATGGTGAAGTCACACCAGTCAGGGTTCCTCCCGAACAGATAGAACTTCTTTTCATCAATGATGAGTTTCTACAAAAAGAATAGGATGACTCAGTTATTAAAAATATTTGCGAACAGGTCAGTTTAATGCATCTGTGCCTCTGAGTTATAACTCTTCAGTGTCGCTCTCCACTGATGGGCTTAAATCTCATGGCTTAAGTTCCTCTTGCACCGTTTGAAGCCACGCAGCCACAGACAAACCCCGGTGTGCAGCACACCAGGGATGTAGACTGTCAGGCTCGTATCTGGTGCAGTCAACACTTACTAAGCACAATATTAATAATTAAAGTACATGCAGGGCCAAATGATTTCCTTGATGCGAAGAACACAGTCGCAACATTTGACAAATGAAAAAGGAATCCACAGTAAAACATGGAATATAAATAAATTCTTATATGTAGATATGATCTAAGAAATGTTGGCTTTTCTAACCCACCTAAATTTTTTTCAATAAGCAACCCCAACTTCTTACACCAACTCTCTAGTCATCAAAAAGGATACAAATAATGTATAAAATGTTTGTTTTTTTTTGGCAAATATGTTTTTTTTAATTTAACAAATTATAACAATTGCTAGATTTCATCCATCCATCCATCCATTTTCTTTACCCGTTTATTCCATTTTGGGTCACGGGGGTCGCTGGTGCCCATGTCCAGCAATCATTGTGCGAGGGGCAGGGTACAACCTGGACGGGTCGCAAGTCCATCACAGGGCCACATAGAGACAAACGAGACAAACAACCATTCACTCTCTCACTCACACCTAGGAACAATTTAGAGTTACCAATCAGCCTAACATGCATGTTTTTGGTCTGTGGGAGGAAACCGGAGTACCCGTAGAAAACCCACGCATGCACGGAGAGAACATGCAAACTCCACCCAGAAAGGCCCCTGGACCGGGGTTTGAACCAAGGACCTGCTCGCTGAGAGGCAGCAGCTCTACCAGTTGCGCCACCGTGCTAGATTTCAATAAACTTATAAATCTTTAGAATAACATAACACACAAAATAACAAAAAGGAGAATTCTCACTTAAAAAGACTAATTGTAAACTATAGTAAACTGGTTATAGCAGTGCCTACTGCATCCTCATGTCCTACTTAATAATCAGTGACGAATGCACAGACATTGCCGATTGCCAGTTTTTAAATGCCTAATATCAAACAAATAATCAGTTCAAGCCTAACAAGGTACTTATTTCAGAGCGTAAAGTATGAAAACATATTTTTTTTATGATTAAAAGAACAATTCTGTTTTGAAAGTCTTGTTGGCGCACAACTATGCCAATTTAGGTAAAGTGTTGACAAAACAAGAGAGGCCTCCATCAAACTCGCTTCTGTGTAGCGACAGCATAAGAAAGCTGTCCTGCAAAGCTTCCATTTGAAAAAAAAAAGGGCAGTCATTAAACAGCAGATATGAGACTGAGTAATCCCAAACATTATTACCAGTAGTGAGTGAGTTAAGTAGGACACCATCATAATACTATTATAGGCCATGTATTAGGTGTGAACTGCCGAGTATAGGTTTGGTTCACGTGTGTCACTTTCATTTTACCAAATGTTTCTTGAACTTTACATTGAGCGAATAAGTGAAGAACTATTTTACAAAAGACTGGAATGTTTTCTGTCATGTATAAATAACCTACAGGTAGATTTTTAGGCAGTTAATCAAAACATATGTTTTGTTGGACTGAAACACATTGCTGAGTTTAGACTTAACTTATTATTTAATATTTTTCAACTGAATCTGTTTTCATCGACCATATAATAAGAAACTTTTAAGATGACAAAAATGTTACACTGTCAAACAGGATTTTAGCAAATCAAACAATTAAAAAATATATATATTTTGGAGCCAGGCCTGGGGGAGGGGCTCGTTGGCGAGCACCTGGTGACCGGGTCTCTGGCCCGGTCGGGCTCAGCCAAAAGGAGCAACATGGGTTTGCCTTCTTGTGGACCCACCACCTCACCTATGGTCATGAGCTCTGGTAAGGATGCTTCCTGGGCGCCTCCCTAAAGAGGTGCTTCGGGCATGTCCAACAGGGAGGAGACCCCAGGGAAGACCCAGGACATGCTGGACAGACTATGTCTCTCGGTTGGCCTGGGAACGCCTTGGAATCCTCCCAGAAGAGCTGGAAGAGGTGGCTATGGAAAGAGATGTCTGGGCCTCCCTGCTCAAGCTGCTGCCCCCGCGACCAGATTTCGGAATAAGCGGAAGATAATGGATGGATGGATATTTTGGAATGAAATTAGTATGGCATCAGGACAAATTACACTGGATTTCATAGGGACCTTTACATGCTTCATTGTGACTCAACAATAACTTTAAATAGAAAAATAAATACTGCAATCTGAAGTGACATCTTCAAAACTAGTTACCTCTATCAGTTTGTCTCCTTTCATCACATCCAAATGCAGTCCTGTAGGCGGTTTCCCTGCCCTGAAAGCATAAGATTAAAAACTCCTTGAAACATTGTTTAAATTCATAATGACAATCGCAATAAATAAACCAACTGTACAGCTTTATTTCGTCTTCTAATGATTATTACGGTAAGTGGACCGGCTCTTCACTCTGTCGAAAATATGATCCCCAGTTTTATAACGTTTTTTATGTTTATAACAGTAATTCTAAAAATTCAGCAAATAATGCTTCTTCTAACTAAAACCAAACACAAAACGTCATTTTGTAAATTATTGCAAACATCATTGACGGGTTAGCTTCTAGCTCGACTAGATGCTAACGTTAGCTACAGAAATAGCAAGCTACTACCGCGTAAATGTGAGAAAAAAACACGGGGAAACAAAATGCTTTGCTCGTTTGCATCTAATAAACGATACATATATTCTGTTACGGCCCCAACATGTGCATTTTCTCACCATGATGGACAATCAAAGGGAGGTGGACCGTCTTTACTTATTTTAGCCGCCATCTTGCTACTGCACATTAAAGCTGCAGCATGTTGGGTAAATGTCGCGATGGAATTCTGGGAAATGAAGTCCTGCCACCACATGCATTTCGCACCTTATTCAACAACTGCTCTTGTAAAGTAGTAAATAAGACTCTGTAAAATACTCAATTCGAAGCAAACTTTGAAAACGTTTTTATTTCTTTTATTTGTTGTAATTATTATTGCTTGAGGTGCAATTTCAGAAAATGTGCAATATTATTATTTTTGTTCAGAATGTTTGATTTTGCAACTAGTACTAGTACTAGTAGTACTTTATCTTTAAGTTGTATAGTGCAGGGTGGGTTTGTGGTGTGAGCGAGGTGGGGGATGTTAGGGATTTACGGGGGCAGTGACCTTTTTGCAGGATGCATTTTGATGCAAGGCGTGCACATCAATGAACTGAAGTTCCATATTTTTTCAGTATGATGCTTGTTTTAGTGAAATCTCAGTTACAATGAATCATACTCATTTCAACACAACAAATCATATTCATTTCAACAGTTCAAGGGGCAATAAACACAATCATTTTTGCCATCAGATGTCAAAGTATTCTCAAGCAAAACTGAAAGCAGAAGCAGACAGTCATCATACGTCAAGAAATTACAACCTCACAAATGGGCAGAGAAGAGCAACAGAGACTTTCTCAAGCTCAATCAAAGAGTTACACAAAACATTTTCTTTGTGTCATTTATGGCATATAAAGACTCAAAAATGTAAGTTACCTGTATATTAAAAAATGGTATTGAAGTATATATTGTACCATATTTTCCAGCGTATAAGTCACAGTATTATGCAAAGATTTGTCAGTCCTGCGACTTATACGCTGAAGCAACTTATATGTTTTTTTTTCTCCATATTCATAACGCAGTTTTTGACTTATGCTTTAAATTTCAAAGAACTGCAACAGCGAGTCCTCCTGTGCACGCTCGCTTCACTCAGCTGGTGCAGTCGGAGGAATGCTGGAGAGCTAGAGGCTGCTATGGATGAATGGTGCTGCGCCACCCAGGCTAAATGAAGCTGATTTGACTATTACATAAACGCATAATAAACGTGACGGGTCAGCGGTGACACATAATAAATGTGACTTATGCGCCGAAGCGACTTATATACTTTTTTTTCCTCTTCATGATGCTTTTTTGACTGATGCGACTTATACTCAGGAGCGATTTATTCAAATCAGTTTAAATTCAGTTCAGTTCAGTTTATTTATATAGCGACAAGTCACAACAGAAGTCATCTCAGGGCACTGAACAGAAACATTCATATGTAAAAATATGCTGGAAAATACGGTAGTTTGAAAAAAATATAGTTAGGATGTTCAATCCCCATGTGGTCTTTACAGTCCCTCTGAACTGTATCTGTTTTTAAATTTTATCAGATGTTTGTTAACTTGCCAGTTAAAATAGAAATAAAATGGGTAAAAAAAGAAATGACTTAAGTAAAACACATTTTTAAAACTAACTAAAATGATTGAATCTAAATTGAGTCTAAATTAAGTTTTTCCATTGTGTTTTCATTAGTGTTAAAAATGCCAAATACAAACTATGAAATAAACTTAAAAGGTTATCCTGGACTGCCAAATGATGCAGTTTGAAAACATTTTCTCCGGTAGTTTTCCAGATACGTTGATATGCAATTCTGAAATGCAGGAAGCAATCAATATAAACAAAGCACCTTTATCCACATATTTGAGCATAAATATGTACCAATACATCAAAATTGTTGGACTTCTCAATCCCAGACAGCCCATTCATGAACATGACCAATACTGACCTATTTTCAGTCACTTCAACATTTCCTTAGGTAAACAAACACATTTAATACTTGGCAGTCATTCTTTAATTTGCTTGTATTTTTTTTATTTCGTTACACATTAACCACTGATATGAGGGGGGGGAAAAAAAAGTGTAGTTATTAACGTTGTGATTTTTTTATATCTCTTTATGACATTGTTTTATTATTGTCATTATGTATTTTTAATTCAAAGATTACATTTTTTTTAATTGTAATTTTCATGTTTACACATGACTGGCATGGTGATCCAGTGGACCCATGGGATCTTGCAACCTTCTCACTTTGCAGCGAGAAGGTCACAAGATCATCTCCGGGCCGGGGGCCTTTCTGGGTAAAGTTTGCATGTTCTCTCCATGCATGCATGAACTTTCTCCATTTTCCTCCCAAAGACCAAAAATGTACATGTTAGGTAGCTTTCCCTAGGTGTGGGTGAGAGTGTGAATAAAGTTCGTCTCATTTGTCCACATGTGGCTCTGCGATAAACTTGTGACCTGTCCAAGGTGTACCCTACTTCTCCCACAATGACTGCAGGAGATAGACACCAGCTCTCTGTGACTCCGTGGGTAAAGAAAATGGATGGATGCATGTTTCCACATAAAAACATAATTTCTTCTTCTTCTCCAGGACCAGCAACATCAAGAAGACAGCAATTCTAAAAAAAAAAAAATAAACCCCTAAAATATTTAAATTTATCTGACTTAGGGCATAACTGAGCAAAAAATAAAGTTCTTAGGATCCTTAAAATTCCTAAAAGAACAATTGAGGGTTTCTGAACCCCAAACTGTTGACTCAGAGAGCTACAAGGAAACAAACATACAAACATTAATATTGCATGCTTATGTTGTCTATGAGGGTTCTGTTTTTGCTATGCAATCTATCATAGATTTGCTATGCAAATCTACATCTGGGGATTTACCCAGATAATCAAGTTAATGTTTAAAGTATATTTTTTGCAAGTTTTGTGAACTGAAGTTTTGAGCTGTAGGCCTCTTCTTTTTCATGTGGGAGTTTGCTTTCAGTAGTTGTTAGTTTCTTAAAGCAGCATAAGGAAGTGAGTGAGCGTGTTGGTTTTTCTACAAAACCTGATCAAATTCCATTTTAAAGGTCTTACCATAGAAAACCATGATGAGGACACATCCTGAAAAGCTGGAACACGACTAAAAAATGCATTTATAAAAAGGTGCAGAAACTCTTTTATGGCTCCTTCAGGTGGAACACAACTGTTATAAATGTACCCATTGTTGTATTATATATTTATTACTTTTCTACAGGCTTTAATTTTAGTCTTATTTTATTTTGATGTCAGCCGATTCAAGGCACTACACAGTTTTGGTCTTACTCGACTTATCTTCTGTCTTTGATACGGTTGACCACAAGATCTTAATCAACAGATTTTTTTAATCTTACTGGGTCATCTGGTTCTGTCCTCAAGTGATTCTCATCGTATCTGTCAGTTTGAATGTCTCTGTAAACAGGATTGTGTCAGACACTACTTGACTTTCTTGTGGTGTACATCAGGGTTCTGTTTTGGGACCCATTTTATTTATTCTTTATATCCTCCCCTTGAACATTCACCAGTGTGTGATATTAGCTTTATGCTGCTGATATCCAGCTGCTCATTCAAAAAAAGTGAGTTTCATAAACTGAAGTCCTTAATAAACTGCTTGGCTAACATTAATGATTAAGTGACAACCACTTGCAACTGAACTCAGGTAAGACTAAAACTCTGATTATTGCCCCCCTGAAAACAAGATTTCTCGAATTAAGCAGTTCATTTGTGCCCTAGGTCCTTCTGTTCAATCCAGACTAAGAAAATTGCATGTAATTTGTGATTCTTCTACATCTTTAAAACAACATGTAAAACAACGGACTAGAAATTGCCATTTCCGTCTCAGAGACATCTCAAAATTGAAAAGCTTTCTGTCAAAAACGAAACTTGAGTTGGTCACTCACACTTCTATTTATTCTCATATAGACAATTGTAACAGCTTATTCACATGTTTAAACAGGAAAGAGCTGAACTGTCTTCAGGTTGTCCAGAACTCGGCTGCAAGATTTCTAACTCATATCAACAAACAAGCTCACATCACACCCTTTTAGCTTGTTTTAGCTTCTCTTCACTGGCTCCCAGTTCATTTTAGAATTAATTAAAAAAATTTAGTTTGAACTTTCTGAACTTTGCATGAACAAGCATCTTCTTATATCTCTGTCTTGACTCAGCTCCACACACGGCCTCACAGGTTAAGGTCATCTGATCAGAGGTTGTTGGTCGTATTACCCATTTCAAATCTTGCGGGGATCAGTCGTTTCAAGAAGTTGCACCCAAACTTTGGAATGCTCTGCCTCCATCTTCACGCAGCCTAGATTGTATTGATGCATTAAAAAAAACAAAAAAAAACATCTAGACATCCTTTATAAACAGGCGTTTGGCTAGATGTTGAATTTTTTTTAATCAGTCTTTTTATAGTTTTCTTTAACTCACACTCAAAACAAAACAAGAAACAAGAAACAAACACACGCACACGTACACAAAAAAAAAAAATCCCCTCCCATCCCACTCTTCCCACACCGGATCAGCCACACAGATGCACACACCAGACAGGCATTTATAACAACTACACAATACTATCTGCTGACACACTTTCAATAAAAGATACAAATGGCTGCCAAGTGCCCCAAAATCTTTCAACAGCTCTTTTCACAATATTGCTAACCTTTTCCAGATGAATATGTTGAATTTTCTTGTGTTTTACCTGCATTTTTCTATGCTTCTGTATGTTTATGTCTGTATGTTCAAATGTATTTTGGCGCACGCTCTTAATATTTCACTGCTTCTAGTTTGAATCAACTTGTGATGTCATATCTGTCAAATGTGTTAAATAAACTTTACTTATTCTATTCACAATGTTGTTACATAAACGACATGATACAACAGTTTTGTCAATTGCAATTGCACGCAGTGAGAATAAATGAACAAGCCACTTTGACAATGAACTTTTATACATCTTTACAAAAGTGAATCATTCCCTGCTTTGAATGGTGTTGCAGTGTAATGGTAGTCAGTCATTGTTGCAGTTACTTAGAAAAATAACATTAAATTAAACGTTATTTCACTTTTCGTTTTCAACAGTGAAATATGGCTTTTATTATAACATTTAGTCTCCTTCTGTAAATGCAAAAAGTTGCACAGACTGTAACTTCCTTGTTCACATTTGTGGTTTTGAGTTGTGACTGCACCTCCTTTTTTGCTGCACTTGTCATTTGCAGAATGCTTTCATTTCTGACTGCAGCTCACCGAGGCGACAGCGATGGCAGGCACCGTTGCTTTGCCTCTTCAAGAATATATTGCATCACTGGATCAAACTAGCCTGCCAAATATTCTACAAGTTTGTTCTGGAGTGTATTTCCAAGGTGGGTTTATTTTTCTTTTACAGAATGAATGAAAAGTTTCAGTTTGGGCAAAAGGAAAACTATAAAAATAAGATAATTGTTTTTTTGGGTTTCTAAATTATTTCTGCCTGTCTTTGTTGCAGACATTATTACTTTCTGTTAGATTAGAGGGTATTGTAGCCAAATAAAACATAAAACATATTGATTTTAGAATTACATTTACAAGTTTTCACAGTAAACTTAAAAAAAAAAAAAAACTTGTGCCACTGTTAGGAAAACACTCAATAATTGTGTATTTCTTCTGATTAATACCTCGGTTCATTTCTTGCCATCAGGTTCTGTGTATGAACTGTCGGGGAGTGAAGTTTGCTTTTCTACTGGGGATCTAATAAAGGTCATTGGCGTAAAACTTCAGTCAGTTTCCTGTGAAGATGTCGCTAACAACGAAAAATTCGAACTGCCTATCAACTACACAGGTTAGTAGGAACTACAGAATACCTTGAGGAGTTTCGTTGATGCGGTTCTTTCACTCATATTTGTTTTTCAGGCGTATTCAAGATTGTCCCAGAGCCGATGCCGTACAGTTCTGTCAAGGAAATGTTGATCATGAGGCCTGTAGGACTGGAATCCTCTCTCCCATTCACCTTCACCAGCAGCTCCAAAATGACCTTTGGTAGTCTCACCCTGGGGGCCGGTAAAGCTCTGACCGTGGTCTCCATCGAGCAGCATGAGGGTGAGGAAGACCAGATATGCTGCCTTGTCAAAGGACAAGCACAGGCCTCAGCCAAAGTGTGTATTCCTCTGTCCTCCCAAGGGCAGTTTTACGAGTGTGAAAGTGAGGAATGCTATACTCTGAAAGAGATCGTGTCATCGCCCACCCTTCGTTGTCGAAGGTTTCGATTGATCAAGAACGCCAACTGCAAGCAGACCCTCATCCTCAGTCCGATATACCAAATCCAGGCCATCATGAACTGTGAGAATAAATCATTATTTCATGAATTAAAACAAAAAAAATGAGATACTTTTTTTTTTATTTTGTGAAAAGCATACTCTAAAAATGTATACATTTACCTAACAGTGCATACAGTAGGATGGTTAATTTTTGCATTCACAGAGCATCATTAAAAAAACTATCACGTTACTGTAATAACTGAATAATCTCAGAGGTCTTTTAGGTTTTTTATCCTCAAGCTTGTTCAGTTACAGCTTGTTGCCATTGATAACTTCATGTGAACATACAACAGTCAAGACATATTCTGATTTTTAGTTCATATCGTGCACTCATCACGTTTCTTCTTGCTTCCTTGCAGTGAGGAAGAATGTGCTGGTATTCCCATCCAGCTTAGAAGTCGACGTGGTCGATGTCACTGATCAGTGCAAAGATGTGGATTTCATGATGCCGCTCAGTTTGACAGAAATTATGTCTCAGCCTGATGAATCATTACCTGCAGCGGTGGAGATATTAGAAGAACCACAGAACCGTTCCTTGTTCAAGAGCAGCTGGATGCAGGGACTTACCAAAAACACACATCTGGTTTTGCACAAGAAAAGAACCACAACCTTGGTTGTGTTATCAAGCCTGAAGGGCCGGAAGGCGCAGCAATACTTCCTGGTATCTCAGCAGTATGGTGGACGCTTTCGGAGACAGCAGAGAGAATTTAATTCAGTGTATGAGCTGTACGTTGCTTCCACCCAAGCTCAAGGCCTGATGGTCAGTGTAACAAAGAACTGTGAGGAAGTGCAGGACGAAGGCCTGCCTGCCCTCAGCGTTGGGGAGAAGCTGGAGATTGTGGACTGCACCAGAATGGAGCTGCAGGGCGAAGGACGCAAAGAACAGACGCAATCTGTCGAGGCTCTTTTGTGTCATCGTCTTCAGGAGCCAGAGGATGCAGATGATGATGACAGTGACGAGGAAGTCAAACAGAAGGAAGAGAAAGATGTGGTTTTGATGCCCCTCTACATGCAGGGTCACTTTGTAGAAGTACTGAGGGATAACAAAAAGCATAAACTCTCTGACCTGAGTAAGGACTTTAGCTTGCCACTGGACGTGAAGGTGGTGAGCCGTGACACGGAACTCGAAACTGATCCACTGGTTGGGTTTACTTGTCTAAGAATAGAAGGGGTGCTGTTGGAGCCCACCATTCAGGCAAGCTTTCCACACAAGCCTGACCACTGTTTTGAGCTCCCAGTCAACTGGCTCCTTATGTCTGTCTGCTTCACCAAAGAGCCCCTGCCATGGCCTGAAGGTCAATGCCCCAATTGTTCCACTGAAAGGCTCATTGAAGTGTCAGATACGTTCTTTTACGAATTTCGGAAACAGGCTAACACTGATGAGGCTCCTCCACCTCGACCGCCAAAGCGAGATTTGTCATTATTAACATCGTCATCCAAAACATCTTCTAAAGCCTCAAAGAAATCATCCAAACCCAAAAAGTCCAAAAGTGTCCCAGCTGACCAGTTCAGTACTCTAACCTTGAATAAGAAAAGAACACCAGCTCCACCACCACCTGAAGTAAGTACGGCTTTCACAATGATAACACAAAGCGGCTTTCAAGCATGTTTCTGTTGTATTTCTCACACAACACGTTGCAAGTTTCATTTAATGCTAATGGGAAATTGTATTACCAAGAGTAATGCTTCCACTTTTTTGTGCTGTCGACAAGTATATCTACAGTAAAACGAAATGTGCCGACTTCCCCTTCTCATGCAGGATAGCCAAAATGAAGAACCTCCACCTCTAGTACCACGAAAACACGCAGAGGCTGAAAAAAAAGGCAAGGCACTGCCCAACACTTACATCAAAATGCAAGATGCACAGAAAAAAGGTGCACACTTCATTTTATTTCAAATAATGATGTTTGAAAAAAGCAGAACGATGCACTTCGTGAAGAATTAGATGTAGAAGCAAGCCAATGTCCATCTACATATACAAATTTTATTTAAAAAAAAAAAAAAGCCTTTTGAGTTTGTCTATTAATAAAATCATACCCAGACTAAAGAAGCTATGCAAATAGACTGAATAAAGCAGTTCTGTTGTTTCTGCAGGGCCCCTGTGTAACGTGGCTGCAGATGTGGACAGTGACCATGACTACGAAACTGTGGATGACTCTTTCATATGTATAAAGAAGTCGGCGCAGGAGAGTGTAGCGTTTTAGTAAAAAAAGGTCACAAGCTGTGCTGAAACTTGACAAGTGAACAGTAATAACTGAATTTGAAATATAATTTGTACAAGCTTGTGCACATAATTTAATGTCCTTTTCTGAGACCTGCCTCATTTTGTTCAAACTCTTTGTATTCAGTGACACACAAGTACTGAGTGTCTTGAATTAGTACTTCTATCTTTTTTTTCTAACCCCTGAAGGGACTACGCAACCTATTAGTGGCCATTTGCTGCTACAATCAAACTAAATCAGTGGTTCCCAGCACTGGTCCTTGAGGAACACCATCCTGAATAGTTTAGTTGCTTCTCCGCTCCAACACACCTGATTTGAATGAACGGGTGATGAGGACTTCTGCAGAACTTAACTGATTCACTGAATCAGGGAAATTACTAAAACATGCAGGATGGTGATCCTCAAGGACCAGGGTTGGGAACCACCAGTCTAAATGACTTCTGTGGAATGGATTGTTGGGAGCTATAGTTTAGCGCTTAAGCTCAGTTTTGTATTAAATTTTCTATTTATATTGTGCAATACTAAGAAATTAGTGTATAAAAACAGCCGTGGTGCGACAACTGTGACACGCAAACTAACTGCAACAACAAAGATATGATCTTGTTTTTAAAATGCATTTTCTTTTCATAGAAGTTGCAAAAACTTGTTTTGTTTCATATTTCATTCTGCAAGTCAAACTAAAAAAAGTATTAAATGGTTGCATGCATCCCAATTTTTTTTTTTTTTTAAGTTATGACACATGAATATATGTTGAAGGGTGTGGATACATTTGAATAAACTAGCAGACCAAAATAAATAAATAAACGTATTGTTGTGGTACATGTTGCATTAAAATAATAACATGTTCATGATGCACAATTTGTTTTATTTTACTTTTGACAACCATCAAACAAATTTCCAGGCAGGAGATAAACTGTATTATAATATATTTATATGAAAAAAAAAAAAAAGGTGAATTACAAAAGCATAGAATAGTCAATAAGTACATGTTATCCAAATAATTAAAAATACAAAAATGTTTTATAGGAAACAGTGCGAAGTAAACTGCTAGTAAAGTTAAGCAGGAAACTGTGTTCATAATAGCAGAAGTAACTTCGAAGAATACAAGATGTTGAACCCAAAAGTCTCGCTGCACCTCATGTTCTTTAATAATAGTTTAATGGTAACTCAGAGGATTTCACTTGGTCCTTCCACATTTAGGATGTTGACATTTTGACTTAGTGAATAGCTGTGATTTATGAACTCTTAACTAATAACTTGGCCATCTTATGTTCAAAAAGGCAACCGTACAGCAGCCACAAATGACTATTCCTAACAGTCAGTTGATTTGAAGTGGTCTTCGTCGATGGTGGAGAAGATGTGACCCTCGTTGCTCAGGAATTCCACAGCTTGTCTATTAGAACAGAGAAAATATAAGTTGTATTTTTAATAATAAAATTTTTACATCTAAAAAAAAAAATAATAATAATAATGTGTGAGGGTTCTCAATTCCCTCCTGATAAGACTTTATGTCGAAGGAATCTCTCAAAATCTTCGGAGTTGTTGCCGGCGTCTGGAAGCACCTCAAACCCTTTTCGGTTTAAATTCCACTTTTCAGAAAGCGCAAGAATTCTGAGACGACTTTAGTAGGGTTTGATGACGTACGAAAGCAAACTTACTTAGCAAAATTACTCAATTTGAGAGATGACAGGGATCATTTCAGTGATTTAATTGTGCAAAATGAATTTTTATCGAATGTAAACCAATTCAGTTCGAGTTCAAGTGAAAATTTGCTCATTTTCTTGCAACTCTGTCTTCAACTAGTTGCAACCCACTGAGACACGAGCTAAATAAGGCCAGTTCTGATCGACTTTAAATAATCTGTTATCAAAATACAAAACTATAGTTGTGTCACCGTCTCGATTTTGTAACGGCTTATTTCAAACAGATAAGCCTTTTAAATGACAACGCACGACAGAACTCAAAAGATTCATTCTGCTTTTTGTCACACCAGAACTCGACATAGTAACATCTACAGTGGGTCGTTCTTTTAGAAAACTTAAAGCAGAACTTCTCTTACTTGATCATAGGAAGACTAATGACGCCGAGTCTCTGCTTCAGATCATAAATGCTGATACCCTGTGAGTCTGAGCTGCTTCTTATTAAGTTCAAAACCTAGCAGGGGGAAAAAAAAAAAGCAAATTAACTTTTCAAATACGAACATTATCCACAGCTTTAAAATCCTCCCCCATCAGATCGAGATAATTGCACAAATGAGTTTTACAGGAAAAAAAGAGTTAGAAACTACATAGACTGAAATTTTAGAATTCACCTTAGAAAGGCTTGTGACTTTTTTTTCAACTTACCTGATCCTGATGTGCATTTAACCCATTAATAACCATTGAGTTGGGACCTGAATAGTTCCCTCTGAGCACTGCAATCTGGCCACGAGACAGGGGAGTGGCGCTACTGCTCGTCCCTCCACCAGCACCTGGCTAAAGGAGAAAGAAATTGCATCACAAAATGTTTTATTTATTTTGTATGCCACTGAACTATAAAATGATTAGTGATGACTGAGTGCATTATACTTCTCAAGCTGCCTCATACCGTGTGTGTACGTTTGTACAGTAGTCCCTCGTTACTTTGCGGTTCGCTTATCGCGGACTCGTTCTATCATGGTTTTTCAAAATAAGAGTGGACGTGACACACAATTGGCTGATTGATGGATGAGCCGCACGATCGGCATGGAATTATTTAAAATTAAACATTTTAAAATTATTTAGCACCTGTGTGCAGCCCAGATTTCCTGAAGACTCGTTTAAAACACTAATAATTGTATCCGAATCCTTTATTTTTGCCTTAATAACAATTTAAGATCATGCACATGCAATCATTTTGCATTGAGGATATTGTAAAGCAAGATTACTTGAAGAAAGCCTGCATACGTTGGACCAGCTTTAAACTGCAGGCCTCAGATTACATTCTGCATGGTTTTTTATTAGTTTGGAGCCCAACAAATATCACTCTCCCCACACACACTGCTGAAGTACACAGGAAAAGGGTGAAAAATCATGACGCTAATGTTATTCCGTCTTTCTTTTCTTGCTTTTCAGCAAATGCTAAATTTTACTGGCTGTGTCATGAAACATCATGCCATAAAATAAAAATAAAACAATCATGTTTGACAAAAAAAAAAAAAAAAAAAAAAAAAAGAGCTATATTTTAAGATAACTTTACCAGAATTCTGAGAACTTATATTCAACTTAAACTGCTTCGAATGAGATGGGATTTCACTTCTTAAACCCAAATAAACAGAGTAATAGTGAAGTAAAATGGCTGACTTTTTAAAATATAGCAACTTAAGTGGAAAACGATGTAATAAACACCACAATGTGTGGCTTCAAAGGCTGTTTACACTGAAGCACAAAGCTGCAGATTGTGAAACGACTCATTTCTAAATGTGACGGTGCTGCTTGATAGCACAGACGAGGTAACTGACATTTGACGCTTGGTTAGATTTCTGAGAATTTTCTTATAAGAGGAAATCAAAGCGAAGCCGTACACAAACAAACTGACTCTTAGTTCCTCATTCTCACGTTTTAATTTAAATTAAGCCTTGCTGAAACGCAAGTTCATAAGGTCTCACCGTGCTTAGGGGTTTGCTGAGTGCCATGTGTGCCTGGACCACCTCCAGCATGTGTGAGGTGATTTCATTCATGTCCTCCAGGGGCTTGACGCTGAACGCCACAACAGATCTGTGGTTCTAGAACAGGAAGACAAACGCTTTCAGTTCCTGCATGGATGAATTCAAAGAACTGCGGCACGTAAACGGCTACAGGAAACAACAAAAATCTCTTTACACCAAAAATTATTTGAAAACCAAAACACTGATAATATACCAAACAGAAGTAAAAAAAAAAAAAAAAAAGTTTATATTTAAATATCACTCACCAGCTTTATGTTTGTTTAATCCCGTTAGTTCCACAAATAAATTATCTACTGTTGTGCAAAAATTTTTCTGGTCTTGTGGAGTACAGTAGTCCCTCGTTTATTGTGGGGGTTACGTTACGGACCCCCCTGCAATAGGTGAAAAACCGCGAAGTAGAAACGCTATATTTATTTTAGCATTTAAATATATTTTAAGGCTTTATAAAACTTTCCCACACTCTTGCAATGTTCTAAACTCTTAAACCTATGTAATTTTAACAACATACGTATATGTACTGCACAGTAGATACGTAGTGATAAATTTTTATTTGGGTACTAGTACTAACCAGCCTTGGTCCGGCTCTGATAGGCTCTCTGCAGCCGTTGAGCACCAAGACGCTATTAGAGAGAGACGGACCTTTTGAGAGCCGGCACAAAACCACATAAGAGTCCAAATAATCCAGAGAAATCCAGACTAAAAAAGTCCCGGTGAGCGCCGGAAAAGATACCGGACCTCCAAGCAACGCCTCCCCGCTCAAGAGGCCTCACGGGCCGGCAAGCAGCCCTCAGATTGACCGATGAGGCTGGAAGTCCGGTTCTGGTCTAATTCAGGTCGGTTCCGTATGGCTCTCTGCATCCACTGGGCGCCAAAGTCACTATGAATAAAGACAGAACTTTTTCGGATTGGATCAAAACTTTACCTCCGTTTCAGCAGAAAGCAACGACCAGAAGCACTGTTGGCTTCTGGGTAATGTAGTCCTTTTGACTGGAAATAGTGTAGGATTATTGAGAGAATACTACAAAAAGGGTGGCGCCTGTCTGAAGTACTTTTATTTTTCGTTAACTTAACTGTATCCTGTACTGTCCCAATCACGTGAGTAATAATAAAGTTGACAATCGTGTGTCGTGTACAATCTTACTTTGAAAAACCACGAAAGAGCAAGTCTGCAAAAGTCGAACTGCGAAGCAGCGAGGGACTACTGCATTTCAAATATGAATTCTTATTTTCCTCAAGTAACTAAAGGGAGAATCGTAAAACTACAGTCACCTGAAAAGATCGCAGACTTCCTGCGACTTTAACGTACGCTCCTGGAGGCAGCACAGTGCTGTCCACACTCGGGTCCTGCTTACACAAACAAAAACAAATAAACAAATAACACACATGAAAAGTTGAGTTCCATATTCACACATGCACAGAAATATGATATGTCTAAACCAGAAACGGTTGTATTTATTATACCATTATTAGGTTATTGTCATTGTATAAGAATGCGCAATTAAATACAAATTAAATTCATTTTCAAGATGATAGTGTATCATATCATAGTATTCATAAAAACATTCATTATTGTGAAATTAGCAATGTGCAAAAGTTTTAAGGCACCTCTTTTATGTAAAGACAGACTTTCGTGTAAACTTTCAAACTATTTTTGATCAATAGTTCTTCAGTAAAATGACATATTAACAACACTAATATTTTATTTGATTACAAGGTTAGAGACTTAAGTCAAAATGTTGAGGAAAAAATCTAAACATCTGAATCTGAATTGCTTAAAAACAACAACATTAATGTTCAGGATGTCAATGAAAAAATGACCGCCACTGACCTCAGTGTCTACCCACTGCTTCACATCCATCGGTGCACAAGTCATGTCATCAATCTTGTACTGGATATTGGTCATGGATTTGTCAGTGCTTCTGATGATACCCACAATGGTGACCTATGACACAAATTATGAACCGTTATAAATACCAATAGATTTATGAAGCACTGAATAACGGCAACATGGCCAACCAAAGTGCTGCACAATAAAACAAGCAGCGAAACATGATACAATACATAAACAGAGGTAAAATGAAGAAACATTAAAAGCATAAGGTTAAAATCATCTCATACTGGATCATAGGCCAGGAAGTAAAAATGCAATTTTGATGCAACAAAAATGCAAAAAGATTTAAAAACCGCAAGAGAGGGAGCCTGCCCAATCAAGAAAGCTCATCAGAGACTCTACTTCCTCAGACGGCTGAGGCGAGCTGGTCTGGGAAGCTCAGTCCTCACCTCCTTCTACAGGTGTGCAGTGGAGAGCATCCTGTGCTCCAGCATCAATGTGTGGCATGGAGGCTGCACAGCTGCAGAAAGAAAAGCTTTGCAGAGAGTGGTGAAGGCTGCACAGAAGTCTGTTGGAGTCAGTCTCCCCACCATCACAGACATCTACACCTCCAGATGCAGGAAGAGGGCCACCTGCATCATGAAGAACCCCACTCACCCAGCACACACACTTTTTGCCCCGCTCCCCTCAGGAAGGAGGTTGAGGAGCATTAAGTGTAGAACCACTAGACTGAGAAACAGCTTCTACCCTGAGGCTGTTAGACTCATGAATCTCTAACCAGAATAATCACTGTGAAAATAAATATCATCATGTTGCTGCTGATCTGTTTCATGTTGCTGCTGATCCGTTTCATGTTGATGTGTTCATGCGTGCTCATCTGCTTACACAGACTCATGTTCATGTTTGTGCTGATGTTCGACGTAATGTTTTTTTTATGCTATTAGTGCTTAGTGTATATTTAGTTGATGTTTTTCTTAGTTCATATCTTAGATGTTATCATTGCTTTTCTTTTACATTTTATTATTGGATGTAACTGGGACCCTGTGTACATAATTTCGCTCCACCACATGCACCACATGAGGTGCAAATGACAATAAAGAATCTTTGACCCTGAACATGCAGTGGCAAATTAGTGCACAGTTTTGAACCTGCAACAGAGAAGACTCTATCCCCTATCAACATCTGATCTGCAGCAGTTCAGAGACAAGAGAACTGTTAATAGACCTAAAAACATAAGACAGCTTTTTATGAATTAGGAAGGAAATTGCTAATCGGTGAACAGAAGCCAAAACTGGGGAACTGTGTTCTCTTTTGCCAGGACCACCTAAAAATTGGGCTGCAGAATGATCAGGGGTCTGCAACCTTTAAGATCAAGAGCCATTTCTGTCCCTTTGTTCACTAAATTAAATGTGTCCGGAGCCACAGTACTTGCTAAAACTGGGATGTTCAACTGGTGGCCAACAGACCACTTTAAGTTTGTTGGAGGGCGCTTTCCTGAACAGTAGGGGTGATTTTATAAAACTAAAAATGTCTAATGATTTTTAACATTTATTGATATTTTTACATTCTAAGAAAAAAATAAAAGATGAGATTCTTGTAAAGAAGGAAAAAATAATATCGTTTTTGCCTAGTTTCTAAAAACTAAAACAATAAACTATGCATTCTTATGTGATTTTCTTTTGTAGAAAAATTACATATCCTACTTTAAAGAAATAAAGCATAAAGTGAAACAGAGTGTTTTACTCTTGTAATGTTTCTAGTATTCATATATTTGCAAAATAAATTACAGAAAACTGCTAAAGCTAGCCCTTTTAGTTGTTATAACAACCAATAAAATTCAGTTTATTTCAGTTTTGGTCAAAGCTTGAAAGAGCCGCTGCAGAGGGACCAAAGAGCTGCATGTGGCTCCAGAGCCGCAGGTTGCAAACCCCTGAGCATGATGTTCCAGCTACAATCGAGCAAAAGAAGTCTGCCTTATTCTAATCCTCATTTTTTTTAATGTTTTTCTCAAATTCCCAGTGTTTTCTCTGTCTGAAAAATATGAGTCATTTCCCAGGTTTTCCCGGATTGCTAGAGTGGCTAGGAACCCCTGTCTATGTGTAAATAATCTCGTTCCATCACATGTACCACATGAGATGCGAATGACAAATCTCTCGATGGTGTCAAACGCAGATGTAAAGTCCAATAGGACAAGAAGAACAGAATCAACAGAATTTATTGCTATAAAGAGATCATTAAAAACCTTTAACAGCACTCAGTGTTATGGTGAGTTTTAAAGCAATATTGGAACACCGTTCCACTAAGGTTGAGGTGTCCTTGAAAAATAGTATGGGAAACTCTGAGCAGTGCTCCCACCTGCAGTCTGTCTCTAAGTTGGGAACACTGCTCTGGGCTCACCGAGTATCAGACAGCATGAACGGCCCTGCTCTGCTCTGATGGGAAAAACTGTCACTCTGGTTCTCTTTATTTGTTGAAAGCAGCGTCTGTTTAATCCCTGTTCCATTAATAGACTGGTTGTCTTGAAAAATACCACAAAAACACCCCCCCCCCCCCCTTCATTGTTACAGATGACGAAAATCCATCCTGGCCACATTCAAAAGGACGCAAATATGTTGCGGTGATAAAGAACTTTAACCCATGTAAACAGCTATTCGCAATAGAGCAAAAAGAGTTCCCAGAATAGAAAATATCTTGATTAGAAGTCGAGGCGGGGACATTGAAGAAGGAACCAGATAATTTCATGCTAGCTGAACTAAAAAGACAGTGAGATGGACTCATAGTGATCCAACACAATTTGAATATACGGATACAGGCGGTTGAAATGAGTTTCCTCTGCAGGGTAGCTGGACTAGAAGTAGGGTGAGATGTTCAGTTATCCAGGAGAGACTTGGAGTAGAGCCGCTGCTCCTCCACATTGAGAGGAGCCAGTTGAGGTGGTTCAGACATCTGGTAAGGATGCTCCCTGGGCACCTCCCTATGAGGTGCTTTGGGCATGTCTAACTGGAAGGAGACCGCGGGGAAGACGCAGGACATGCTGGAGAGACTACGTCTCTCGGTTGGCTTGGGAACGCCCTTGCAGTCCTCCCAGAAGAGCTGGAAGTGGTGGCTGTGGAAAGAAGCAGCTGGGCCTCCCTGCTCAAGCTGCTGCCCCCGCGACCAGACTTCGGAACAAGTGGAAGATAATAGATGGATGGACAAAATAAAATATTTAATTCTTACCCTAAATTAAAATGACGGGGGGTAAATAAACTAAAAACTAATAAAGCAACTAACCAACTCTTGCAAAACCATTATTCTGACATCATTTTTAACCTTTCTGATTATATTGTGGCAGTTTGTATCGCTTCAGCTCACCTGGGAAACCTCCACATCTCCCACTCTGAAAGACTCATCAGCTTGTGAAGCGGTCATCAGCTGAGACACAGTGCAGGGGATAATTTGTGTGGCCCGAGCTCTCTGGAAAATAAAAACAACATGGCTTACTATACATTATTCAGCCTACAAGCATTTGCATTTTATAGGTTCAGGCAGGTGAGGAACATAAATACATTAGGCTGAAAAGTAAACTTGGGACAAACTGCAACTATGCACTTTCAGTTATGTTTTAAACAACATCAAATCTACTAGGATGGTGTTAAGTTTTCCTTTGCATTTGTCGGGTCAGGTACCGGCCATGCTGTAATTACTCACCCCTTTCTTCTCTCCTCCCTGGGAAGCAGCAGGTGATGCAAACCCTCCAGGAGACTGAGTGTAACCCCCGGCCATTCCAGACTCGTTTCCTCCTGAAAACCCAAAAGGCAGAGTGGAACTTTACGAACAGGACTGTTTATCCGTCATTCTTCTCGTTCAAGTAGCACTTAACTTACTAACTTTACCATTAATCTCACAACAAAGACTATTAGCAGTTAAGCTAACATTAGCCTCAACCAAATAACCTATAAAAGCCATTAATAACTACTTTCTAGAGACGAGCAACTGAGCGGACATGAAACTCACCCTGATTCCACATGTTGTCAACACAAACTTAACTATTAAAAACAAACGCAATTGTTGAAAACACTCTCAGAAAGGATTAACAGCCCACGTAGCTCTGCTGTGCTTGTTTTTAGTGAAAGACCTCTCGCGCGCAAAACTCAACACAAAACGCATGCGCACAACACAAGTCCCGCGAAAAATTCAACTTCCGGGTTTAAACGGAAGTTGTAAACTTAAAGTTGTAACCCTGTGTTTTGCTTGCTAGACAAACTTTCCTACTTGTGTGTATTGTTCGATGTAAAACAAACAAACAAAAAATGTTTCTTCGAAAGATTTATGTCTGTTAGGTATTATTATTATTTTTTGACAATAAATGGCACGCTTCTTGGCACAATATAATATTGAGCTGAAAGGCAAATCGCGGGGAAAACTTTAAGCAGGTAATGCGACGCGAAAACTGACGTCTGGAACAGTGCGCGCATGAAATATTAATTTATATTTTAAAATGCTTTAATAACTGTCAACTATAATTCTCCACATATAATGAAATTATTAAACAGACAAGCATTAATTCCACATCTTCAATATTATTCACATATATATTGAATAATTGAAAAATCATTTGACTTGTGCCTACATTTTAGCGTTGCCTATATGTTACAAACATAAAACCATGTCTATTAAAATAAATATAAATTATGTAAAACCTGTGAGTCTCGTGAACTGAAACATGATCTCAGTCTGTAGAAGGCAACTGTAACGGGCCTATTTTTAGCTCACCGTCTACTCAGCTCTGCCCAAATATTTTATTTTTCCCTATTGAATCATATTAATCTGAATTTTTGCTTTATGCAATACTGTGAACTGTTTTACACAATACTATAGGTGGAAAACTGCACACGCTTGTTTAATTTCATAATTAGCCAAGAAACATTTTCACAATTTGTTTTCCTCATCAGTTTTAGAATATTTTATTCTGTTGATGCATGTGTTGTTCTTATACCTTGAGCTCTTATATATCAGGCTATGCAAATCTTTAATCAGCTCACATTGGTTTTGTGCTTTTGAATTATTATTTTTTTTGCCACGTGAGTGAGAAAGAGGCTTGGTTTATGTTATAAACCACTTTCCAGACAAACACGTGTTCTCTGTCTTATCTTCCTTTGGCCTTTATGGTCTCACCTCTCAAGCCTCTCCTCGGTTTTGGACGGATATTTGCAGCTGTCACAGAGTCCAACATGTCTCCGGGAAGGTTGCTCTTATCTTGCCTGCTTTTCAAGGAGACCCTCGCGCTGTCGGGTAAGAGGCAAAAATACGTCTACTGTACATTTTAATGATCATGTCTCCAAACACGATGACTTACTGTGCGTAATTACGCATCGGTTTTATCCAGGGAGCTTTTGGCATATCACAGATTTGCACTGGGATCCAACCTACAGACTCTCGGACAACCCGGAGCTGGTGTGCACGTCCAGCAGTAAAAGACCTGCGTTACGTGCTGGTAAATTTGGGGACTACGTTTGTGACTCACCATGGCACCTTATCAACTCTTCTGTTTACGCCATGAAGCACATCCTACCAGATCCAGACTTCATTGTATGGACAGGGTGTGTATGTCTTATAAAATGGCTCCAACACTTGTCCACTTTCTGAAGTCCCAATTTCATAGACAAATAAAAGGAAACACAAATCAATTATATTCATTTGTTTATTTTATAAAAATAAGTATTGGAACATTTATGTTTTCTATATGAGAAAACTCATTTCCTTCCCTAATGTGGTGTTACCTGTACAGAAATAATCACATCTCCTTTTCAGCATTTAATCCTTAAACATGGTTTCGTTTAACATCACAGGGACGACACCCCACACGTACCAAATGAGGATCTAGGAGAGGAGGCAGTGATCAACATAATTAGCAACCTTACTAATATCATAACTGAGGTGTTTCCAAGTAAGTGTGAAATCAAGTGACTGTGGTCTCAACGTTTACCAACCAGTTGATGATTCAAGTTTGTATTTGATCTGGCTTTTCAGGTACTAAGGTGTACTCTGCTCTGGGTAACCATGACTACCACCCCAAGAACCAGTTTCCTCCAGCTCCAAACTCCATCTATAACAGAACAGCAGAAATGTGGCACGACTGGTTGGATCCAGAGTCCAAAGAAACGTTTAAAAAAGGTGAGCAGATCATCTGGCACTTGCTTGAATCTGATAATGCACACCTCCTTTCCAAACAAGTAAAACTTCTTGTGTTTTATAGATTTAATTCCTTTAATAAAAAAAAAATACATGTTCTCATTTTTCTTGCATAGGTGGATATTACACAGAAAAGTTGCTGAACCGAAATGGTTTTAGGATGCTGGTCCTCAACACTAATCTCTACTATGACCAGAACAAGTTGACTCTGGACACAGATGACCCAGCGGGTCAGTTTAGCTGGATGGATCGGACTCTTACAGAGGCAGCCAACAACAAGGAGAAGGCAAAGCATCATATTTATGTTGGCTCTGGATTATCTGAAATAAAATTCAAGAATTTCCTCTTTCTGCATTAGCCTTTAAGGAGCGATAAACAATCTTTTTAATGCTAATTGCCAGTGTGACAAATAAAAAATGGATTTAGAATAAGTCAAACTATACATTTTTTGCACATCTACTACTTATAGTAAATGTTTAATTGTTTTGGTCTAAAACAACTCTTAGAAAAAAGTTTATTACATATAAAAACACTTGAGTGAAAATGGATTATTTGAGCTAATGCTGAATTGGTTCTTGTGCCTAGGTATACATCATTGGTCATGTTCCCCCAGGGTTCTTTGAGAAAAAAAGAAGTAAACCATGGTTTACATCAAAGTTCAACAAGCATTATGTGGATCTGATAAAGAAGCATCATTCTGTCATTGTTGGACAATTCTTTGGCCATCATCATACTGATAGCTTCCGCATGTTCTACAACACTGAAGGTAAAACACATGGTAGCATTTCCTGCATTAGAGACTCAATGTAACGGCCATTTCTGCCATGTAAATATGTCCAGTGTTTCGATATTACAATAAAGTATAGACTACTGTATTTTTCACTGTATAAGTTGCACCTTTTTGCATAAATTTGCATACACTGCGACTTATACAGCAAAGCAACTTATTTATGTTTTTCCCCCCATATTTATAACCCATTTTTTTGGCTGAGATCTGATGATTTCATTTATTCTGACATGTAAAATATTGAACACTTCCATTTCCAGCCGCTAGAGGGCGCTCAAGTAATATGGCAAGCCAAGTGTCTCATTAATAGGTAAAAGTGGCTATTAATGAGACACTTGGTTTGCCATACAAGCCACTTTAGTCTCGCTCCAGAACTCTTGGAGCAAACAAACGCCAAATCAGCTGCATTTCGCCGTTTCGCTCAGGCAAAATGCAGCTGATTTGACTGTTAAAGTGCATTTATTAAGGAAAAGTTAAACTGAGACACACCTTTGCTATAATGTTGAGCAAAAAAATAATTGATTTAATACACAGCGAGTCCTCCCTCGGCATGCTCTCGCTGCCACAAATCCATTTTAGAAATGCAGCTGATTTGACCATCAAAGTGCATTTATTAAGGAAAAGTTCAACTTAAGACGCACCTTTGCTATAATTTCGAGCAAACAAATAATTGTTTTTAGTGTTAATCTTGCTAAATTCTTGTAAATGCCCTCTCATGCATGCTCCTGCGGCCGCCATTTGGCAGCCAATCAATTTTTGGCACAACACCGGCCCACGTTTCCGGGTAGTCAGTGGTGACGCAAAATAGATGTGACTTATACGGCGAAGCAACATATTTATGTTTTACCCCACTTTATTAGACATATTTGGAATGATGCAACTTATATGGCGAAGTGACGTGTACAACGGCAAACACGGTAGTTTAAATTAACAGTAACACCCCTTTTGTTTCCATAGATTTGCCCATCGGTACAATGTTTCTCAGCCCAGGAGTCACACCATGGGAAACGACTCTTCCTGGAGTTGTGGATGGAGCCAACAACCCTGGGATTCGTGTTTTTGAATACGACACAAAAACACTTCTAGTAAGAGTAAGTAGTTGTAAATCTACATGTAGTCATTTCAGTGCAAGTTGCTACAGACAGATCACAGCTTTTCTACTGACTTCTGGTGCTTATAGTGTTCTGCTTTGTCTTTTAAACCACACATGTGAACAGGATGTGGTGACATATTACCTGAACCTCACTCATGCTAATGCAGTCACAGAGCGCTGGGAGAAAGAGTACCGCCTCACAGAGAGTTTCAGAGTACCAGATGCCTCTCCGGCCTCCATGCACCGGGTTCTGGAGCGAATAGCTACTGAGCGCTGCTACCTGCAGAAGTACTATGACTTCAACTCTGTCAGCTATGACCTGACGCACTGCGACAACGACTGCCGTGTTGACCATGTGTGCGCAGCGAGAGAAATCGATTTTGAAAAGTATGAGCAGTGTGTCATAAAAGAAGGAGCGGTTTCCATTAATGGTGGGCAGCTGCTGGTGGTCCTTTCTGTGGCCGTAAGCATAGTGGCAGCTGGTTGGTAGAGAACAGCTGATGTCTAAAAGTTTGCAAAACGTTTAAAATCTGAAAGGAAGATGGCAAACTTTACCAAAGCAAAGACGACTCTCCACCTTGAACGTTCACAATGCCTCAAAAATGAAACTTCTACATCTAAAACGTGTCATCCAAAAAGGTTCGAGTCTTAGGAAACTATTTTCAGAAGTTACCAGAAAAAGAAACAAGTCGTACGTCAACAGCAATGTCTTCGTTTAGACATTTCTTGAATTTTCGTCATGCATTTTCAGTAGTTCCATCCATCTGTGAGTGGTCTTGCAGTTTAAAAAAAATTAAAAACACTTTGGTGATAGCTCTGTGATGCACATTTTTCAATGTTGTTTGTAACTGTGTATTTTCAGGTAGTTTACACGTTTTTTTTTTCTTATAACCCAACAGGCAGAGCTGTAATTAGCTGCAAAGTTCTGTTTCAAAGTCATCCATTAATCCATGCAGGGTCACCAGTGGTCATGGTGGCGTTCACCCAACACAGGTTCAAGTTCATCACAGGACCTTTATCAAACCCAGATTTTTGGTAAATGTTTCTTCCCATTGACTGTCAAACTACTTTATCTATTCGTTTAATAACTCTACTGGACTTTAACTGTAAAAATTGTATTCCAAATTAAACAATAAATGAGTTGATACCACTTTTTTTTTTTACAACAATAAATGTTAGTTAAAATTTGCACTTTCTCACTATCATTTGGTTTTTTTTTTAAACAGTGTGAACATAACATTCATGTTTTAACACCCCATTTTCTGATAGCCTAACTTCTGTTACCTCATAAGTTTATATAAAGGCTCACTAAATTCTTCATTACTACCAGTAAAACCAGCACATGACAGACAGTGGACTTTGAGCCTTATGACAGAACATGTTTATTGAGTGTTTGTGCGTTGTGCTGACATGCTAAATATATTGTGGCGGGCCTGTGGTTACACCTCAGCTGTCAGGAGACATTTTAGTTGCTTGACGAAACCAAAAAAGTTCACATCATCAGAACCTGTTTACTGGAAGTAAAAGGCTGCATGGCTGCATCCAGAGCCCTCTGATACTCTTCTAGGGGTACCTCGGTGCAGGCAGGAGCCGTGAGCTTCCCTTGCCGGATGAGGGAGCACAGTTCATCCATCATGGCTATAAATGCTCTCCCATCTGTGTAAATTAAAATCTCCTGGTGAAACTACTTTTAAACAAGTCTTTTCTAAATCAGGTAATATAATGTTAACTTACCATGAGCGTGATCTCTCTTCCACTGTGTGACCCAAAACCCCCGAATTTCCAAATCCTTGAAAATAAGTGCACTCTGAAGACAAGTGCATTAGATTTGAATTAAAATATGCGACACACAGGAATAGGAACCCTGCATGTATTTAATTCTTATCAAAGAAAGCAAGCGTTACCCAAGATATGAACCCCCCCGTATAAAAAAGCCTTACCACAGGAACAGTGACTGGCTGTTTGGACATGCCTCCGTATGTCACCATAGACCCTCCAACTCTAAAAAAATATACACATAATTGACTTTTCTCTGCTCCATAAGAGCATTTAAATTATTAAAGATTATGAAAGATGCTTACTGGAGATGACGGAGCAGTTCTGTTGCACATTTGCCTCCAACTCCATTTAAAGCCAGTTTAGGTTTTGGACATGTCTTATAAAACAGATTATAAACTTAGTAACAAATAAAACTGCATGACCACTTCTCTATATATGAGCTTATCTTCTGACAGACTGACCTTGAACAGGTCCTTCATCTCAGGCTGCCTCAGAGTCTCTTCTTTGATCACATGGGTGGCTCCTGCAGCTTTTAGCCGCTTGCAGAGCTGTGCGAAGTCTGACCTTTGAAGAGGAAGAAACCAAGATCACTATTTTTGGAAATTATGAAAAGCAAAAAGTAACTAGAGAAATTGCATTTCCTGCAAAAATGCAGTGTGAATGCTTTTCCAGAAGAAAAACTTACTGAAAAACAGCTGAAATTAGGAAAAAAAACATTCTGAAATGTAGCTGAAATTAAAGAACAAGCCTAAGATTACAGAAAGATTACACATTTGCTTAATTTGATTTAAATAAGCAGAAATGAGAAAAAAAAAAAAAAAAAGGAAATTTGCTAAAAAAAAAAAAAAGGCTTAAATGAGCAAATAGTAGCTGAAAACTAGCTGAAAAAGCATAAAAAAGCTTAAACTACCAGATGGAAGCAGAAAGACCTGAAATGAGCCCCAAAAATGTAGAATTAGCCAAAAAATATTAAATTTGCATAACAACTGCTAAATATTAACTGAAATAGCAGAAAAAATATTAAAATAGCAGAAATAACTTGAAAGGAGCATAACAAGCTGAAATGAGCAGAAATAAGTTAAGGCTGAAAGTAGCTAAAATTACCAGAAAAAACTTGGATTTATCTGAAAACAGCTGAAATTTGCTAAAAAATGCTAAAAAGTTAGCTGAAAATGTAGAACAAGCTTAAATTAGCATAAGAAAGCAGAAAGAACACGTTTTACCAACTAGGAGCAGAAATAACCACAAAAAGGTGGAAAATATCTGAAAAAAGTACAAATTTGAAAAAAAAAAAAAAACCAGCTGAAAAGCAGCTAAAAAAGCAGAAAGAAGCTTAAATTACAGAAGGAAGTTGAGAGCGCATATTTTTGCTTAACTAGACTGAAAAAAGTTGAAATGAGTGCAAAAAATGTGTATTAGATGAAAAAGCTAAAATTAGCATAAAAACAACTGAATAGTAGCCAAAATAGCAGAAAAAGCTGAAACTTGCATAAATAAGCTGAAAGGAGCATAACGAGCTGAAAAGAACAGCTAAAATTAGCTGAAAAAAAAGTGAAAAATTGCACAAGGAAGCTGAAAGAAGCTGAACCAGAAAAAAATGTGAAAGGAGCAGTAACAGGTTGTAAACAGATCTAAAGATTTGAAGGATGTAAAATGAGCTCAATTCATTTTCGAGGAGACAAAAAAATGGCAGAAAAGGCTAAATATTTAAAAAAGCTAAAGTTACACCAATACCAAAAAGTCATAGCAGGATTGTCCTGAAAGAGCTGAACATTTTGATTTATGATTTGTTGAAATAACACAAAAATTGTGGAAAGAGATAGATGCCGAAAAACTTACAAAAGAAAAATGGATCACAATAGTGTGACTGCTGCATAAACATTCACACAATAATAACTCTTTGTGACATGTTTTAGGTGCCCTTAAGCAACAGATTGATCACAAGTGAAAACCCCCTGAATGGCCTGAACAGACTTTCTATACTTGCAATTTTACCTTAATTATGTACACATAACTAAAATAATAATAATGTAAGTGCAGACTTATCACGAAGCCTGAGCTCACCTGCCCCGAATAACATTTATAGTGTTTATTCCTCTTGCAGCAGCAATCTGTATAACAGCCTGCCCCACTCCACTATTGGCTGCATTCTGGATCACAGAATCCCCTACACAGACAGCAAACAGGAGAACTATCATAGGATGAAGACAGCAGCAGAGTCAAAAATGTTAATGACAGACAATTTTTCCTAAATACTACCAAAATAATGTTTTTTTTTCATTATTACCGAGATGGTTTCAGGACATTTCTTGCTATATGTTGAATTCATGAGTTCAAAAAAAGAAAACAGGGAAGTTTGTGAAAAATTATACCTGACTTGAGATCCTTAAAGTCAGACAGCATCCTGAAGGCTGTGCAGGGATTCACCCCTAGAGTGGCAGCAGCGAGCAGAGGAATGTCCTTTGGAAGCGAGATGACGTCATCTTCTGCTAACACAGCCTCTGTCCTCCATGTCCCTGTTCACATAAAGACACTAAATACAGATACTTGTTTTTGTTGTGCTTTGGCTGTTTGATTCTCTTTTATGTAATGAGATCTGATGACTCATTTATGTCTTTCGAGAGGTAATTTACCCAGACCAGCATCTCTCGGAATGACCCAGTCTCCTTTTCTGAGAGACTTGACCTGGCTGCCCACTTCGACAACCTGGGCTACACCCTCGTTACCACCAACAGCTGGGAGGTTGGGAAGAATAGCATAAGTGCCTGAAAAAAGAAAAAAAAAACTGTTTTTGTGCGTTACTTCAGTGCACAAGGTAATGGTGCAAAAGGCTCATATATGCAGAAAACAAACACACCAAATACCTTGAATCATATTTATATCAGATGGGTTTATGGGGGCTGCCAGCAGTTTAACCAGCACATCCTTTGCACCTGTTGGGGGCAGAGGTACATCTTCCAACCTGACAAAAACATCAGAGAGCGGAAAAAAAGAAAAGAAAAACACTTTGAAAAGTTTGCATTTGTCTTATTCTGTTTGTTTCGGTGATATAAAATACTGCAAAAACGATACGGCTAAACAACAAAAGACACTTTCCTCTGCTTGTTGACATAATGCTCACAGTTCCAGTTCGACGAGCAAATTATTATTACAATTATTAAATTAGAAACAACGTTTAGAAATCCATTCAAAGACTCACGTTTATTCCCTGGCTTTTGACACAGTGTGAGATGATTTTAACTTGTCTGTATTCTATAATGTTAGTCACTTAGTTCTTATCTTTACCTATTTGGATCTATGTATTTTACGCTGTGTCCTTTGCTTGCTTTGTTTTTGCTGTACAACACTTTGGTTGGCCTTGTTGCTGTTTTAAGTGCTTTATAAATAAAGTGGTATGGTATCCAATAATACATGGGATGTTGATTTTAACCTTTAAATTATCTTTTAACTTTATGACTATTTATGTTCCTTAAGGGAAATACTGACCACCCCATTTAACTGCTTAAAAATACTATTTATTAATATTTATTTTCCACAAAACTCTAGTCAGTCTTTTAGAGCTATTTCAGCCTGAAATAAAAATATCAAATTAAATATTACTCTTTGAGGGTCTTTTGTTTTACTATATTTTTTAGTATTACTTTCTTTATATTTTTTAAATGTCTGTGGCAGAATTGCTACTTTAAAATAAACTGATGGCAGTCAGCTCTGGGGCATCCTATTCTGCAGCCTGCATGAATGTGAAACAGATTTTTAGAACTAAATATTTACTTGTCAAGTCAACTTTATTCATAAAGCACATTTAAAGCAACTGTTATCAAAGTGCTTACTACTTGTGCACATTATAAGTGAGTTTTTGCTCTTTACGAATGTAAAATGATGTCAGAGGAGATGAGAGGAAGGACTCGGGTACCTTTCAGGTAAGTTGAAGTACGTCTGGGGGGATTTTTTTTCAGAGACTCTCAAATATAAAGGCATAGCACCATCTAGTGGACTAATATAAAAATTGAAAGCATAGGAATAGCAGTAAAAGTTCAAAGAAAAAAACATTACGAGAGGAATGCAGTATTTTATATGATAAAAATGGGAATAAAATTTGTTTTTCTAATGTATTCTAACGTGAGCGATTACTCACCCAAAGAACAAAAGTGTGAAGTAAAGTTACTATGAAGTTACAAAATCATTTGAAAAAAAAAATTAACAACATTTTAAAAAGTAGAAAGATTTTTAGGCTTTGTGAGGGGGGAAAAAAAAGCAAGTTTATTGAATGCACCAAAATAAATTAATAAATAAAAACATGGATAAATATAAGTGTGTGGCTAATTTTTCCCATAAGACAACAGAAGGGTTAATAAAAACACAAATTAATTATTTAACAGATGGGAATATAAAATAATCACTTTTATTTAACAGTTTGACAGGCTTTCTAAAATTTTGTGTTTAACCTGCTTAAAGTTGGTAAAAAAAAAAAAAAAGAAAGAAAAATAAAATTAAAAAAGAGAGAGAGAGAGAATATTGCATCTTAGGCTCTGGTAATTTATATTTAGCCATTTTATCTTTTTTGTACTTTCTGACAGATTTATAACATAATGTTTGTCAAGTGTTGTGTTTCCCTTTTTGTTCACATCTAGTTTTCATGTGTCATTTGTTTTTATATGTTCTACTGCTATTTTTTTTAAGGCGTTCATAACCCAAGTGCCCAGATGACTTTAAAAAGAGGTAAATCAAAAAGTTGATCTGAAAGAATTTTAATCATCGTGTGTAATCTGGTTAAAAGGAATGAATGTGTTTCAAATGCATAGTCATTCTTAAATCATTCTTAAAGGGAGGATAAAATGATGCTCATGGTCTCTTAATGTATCAATTAGAACAGTGAAATTATAAAAATAAAGAATAAATCAAAGAGAACAGTGAGGAAAAAGTGAGGACAATCAGGATAAATGATGGGCAAAGTAGACCAGAAGAAAAAAAAAATTGTATGCTTAAAAAAAAGAAAGCAATATTCAAAATATCTAAAATTCAAATTATTCATAGTAATCCAGGTAGGCTTAAGAATAGTGAATAAAACCACTTATTTCCTACAAAAAAATAATTCCTTTAGTCAAAATTGAAGGCCTAACATTCCTTGAAGGAATTGCTTGCTGCCTTTCAAGTTAGAGTTTTAGATTAAAATCATATCTATCAAATCCAGGTCAAACCTAGAAAATAACATCATGTGCATCCTTACAAGAAAGAAAAACAGCAGCAGAAAGGAAAGCTCTGCAGAGGTGAAAGCTGCACAGAAGACTGTTGGATCAGTCTCCCCAACATCACAGACATCTACACCTCCAAATGCAGGAAGAGGACCCCACTCATCCAGCACACACACTTTTTGCCCCACTCCCCTCAGGCAGGAGGTTGAGGAGTATTACGTGTAGAACCACTAGACTGAGGAACAGCGTCTACCCTGAAGCTATAAGGCTCATAAATCCCTAACCAGGAAAATTACTGTAATGCCACTTTAATTGGTGATATGTCACTTTATCTGAACTGCTGATTATCCATGCAGCTGATTTCTTGTCTTTAAGCTGCTGTATACATACCCATCTGCTCACAACAGGCTCATGTTCAGGCTGCTGTTTAATACATCGTATTATATTACATTATTATTGTTTATCTTAGATCCTTGTATACTGTTTCTTTTTTTTATGCTTTATATTTTTGCTATTTTTGGGTGTAACTGGGACCTTGCATACACAATTTTGTTCCACCTCATGTACCACATGTGATGTGAATAACAATAAAGAAACTTGAGCCTGTCAAATTGACTAAATTATTGCCTTTTTTTGTGAACTCACATCAGCTGTGTCTGTCAACTTAAACTTTAATGGACTCCAACAGTTAACCAGTAGTGAATGTAATTTTACGGGTTATTATCTGACATTTTCATTCAAACCCATCCAGTGATTTATGAGACATTATGCTAACAGACAAAAAGGACCGAATGTCACAATTAATGCTAAAATGTTAAGTAAAGATCCTATGCAATGCTCAGCACTTGGGAGTAGTGAATGACTCTCATGACTCAGTACAACTGACTAAATTATAAACAATTTTTTGTGTTTTATTTAAGGTCATTTGGCTGTGGCAGCCATCTTGAATCATTGTTTACAAATATTCAGTAGTAGATGGGTTTTCAGTGGTAACTTCGTTAATTTCATAAAAACTGTGTCCAGTTGTTCATGTTTTAACAGACGCACGATCACACAGTTCCAAATTAGATTAGACGTCATAGTGAATAATTTATAAATGTCATGCTTAATTAGACGTACTTACTGAACAACTCGTGAAGGGTCTCCGTGGTTTCTGTATACGAGAGCCCGGCAGGTCTGCTCGTAGCGTCCAGCTGAAACACTGAATGGGGAAACATTAGCATCTCGGTGCCCGTTACACTTCAGGAAAGTACCGACGAAGCCTCTTTTACGGAGTATCTGACGTCTTAAACACACAGTGTGAACTGAAAACCACATCTCGACACAGAATTAAACCTTGGATTTTATATACAACAACGCTTTTAATTTGAATACATGTGCTTTAAAGCGTAAAATTGCTCCTCGGCCTCTGTGCAGCGGCCATATTGGATTTTACTTGCGGAAATTAAGTTGGGAATGTAAACAAAGAACAGGCGCCCCCTGGTGGAAGAAGGAGACACTACACTCACACTTTAGCGATTCCAAATGCAAAGGAAACTGTGCGTGTGCAGTATTCTCATGTATGTATATAAATACATATATACAGTGTGTGTACATTATGTATATATATTTTTTTATTCATTCAACCTTTATTTAGACAGGTAAATCCCATTGAGCCTCGAGGACTCATTTACAAAAGAGACCTGATTTCAACAAAGAATGATGACAACAACAATGGACAGCAGCGACAATAGACAAATATAAAAAGATATACAGAATTTTTTTTTTTAACAAAGATGCCAAAAAAAAGTAACAAAAACAGCTAGATTATAAGGCGAATGTAGAAAACTAAAAACAGGAATATGTCTGCATTAGTCCTTGCCAGGAGTCCAACAGATTTTATATATACAGTATATATATACATATATATACTTGCATGCATTAATTCAGATTTATACAGGGTGCAAATAAAGCTGTGCATTTGTTAAGATTTATTACATTCTTTTGCTCTCAAAAATATTTAGTTTTAATATTCTCACTGGTAGCATGGTGATTCAGTTAGTAGAGATATTGCCTCTCAGCGGGAAGGTTGCTGGTTCAAATCCCGGTCCAGGACCTTTCTGGATGGAGTTTGCATAATTTTCCGTGCATATGTGGGTTTGCTCCGGGTACATAGGTTTCCTCCCACAGACCAAAAACATGCATGTTAGGCTGATTGGTAACTCAATTGTCACTAGGTGTGGGTGAGTGTGAATGGTCATTTGTTTTGTTTGTCTCTGTGTCCCTGCGATGGGACTTGTGACCTGTCCAGGATGTCCTCGGCCTCTTGCAGTGACTGCTGGATATGGGCACCAGTGACCCGAAAAGGAAGAAGCAGGTAAAGATGGATGGAATATTCACTCTGCTGTCTTGAAATTGCAAAGCTGATGATCTTTTTGTTTCATCATCTCTTATGTTCTCTTATGTGTTGTAAGGGACATTTGGAAACAGTTGTCCATAATATCAGCTAATGAGATGCACTGACATGCAATAGGCATGGAGAGAGCAGAGCTCTAAAAAGGGGATGTCAAAGTTCCAGTTGTAGGCTACAAATGGTACCTCACAATACAGTATTGTATTATCATCTAGGCCTAAGTGTTACTGTAAAGACAAACATAAAACATGACTGTTAGTATTACACTGACATAAGTTTTTTCCCTGATTCTCAAAACACTTGAAAAAAGTCACTCAAATTAATAATATTGACATATTTATTATGAAATGAAGCAAAGCTTTACATACAAAAACATAACCACAGTATTACTTTGAAAATCTTACATGCTGCTCATCACTGAAAAAACTAGCCAATAAGGCAAGTTTAGCTTTATGGCAGTAAATACTAATACATTCATCGTTAATAAATGCACATTTCTGGAAGTAGCACTAGCAATTAACCTGATAAAGCACAACAAATTAATTGGTGCTGATGGTCGAAAATAGATGAGTACAAGTAATAAAAACTGTAATTCAGAACGTCTCAATGTGCTTTAAATGCTCTTATTCTCACAAGTCCTTACACTTTAATGGAATCTTTAACACCCAAAATTTATATACCGATAATAAACCATTCAGACGTTAAACCGTTTATTTTTACAATCACAATGTCTTGCATGAACTTCCCTAGTTTCCAAAACAATGAGTACTGCAAAATACATAAAACTAAATTTCACCTATAACCTAATGGGTTGTCTACATTGCTGTCAGTTTGACAGATGAAATAATCAGTGCTCAGGTAAAGAAAAAGTAACTCAAGTATCCTTTTTAAAAATAATGATAAAAGAAAATTTTTCCAAATTAAGATGCTGCATACTGGCACTGTGCACAAAAACATTTTTATTAATTCACCAAATGTAAGCACTTCCATTAATACATTTTAGTTCTTTCAAAACCTGAGTAGAATGATCAGAGCAGGATTAAGATTAAGATCAAGCCACTTAGCAAACTTTAAACTTTTGAGAATTTATTTGGTCATCCATGGCACATTCTTTTTGTCAAAAGCATTGATAGTCTGAAACACCAATGATCAATGGATTGAGACACAACAATTATAATAAACTACAAGCCCCAGTCCCTGATTTTTTACTACATCCCCATCTACAACGATTACAGAGGAAAGAGTACATGAAGAGTGGAACATTTTCTTTAAAAAAAAAAAAAAGGATAAAATAAGCATCATCACTCTGAATGGAACGATACCAGGAGTCATAAAGCTTTCAAATTTCAGCATTTAAAGGAATAGTCTGTTCATTTTTAGATGGATGTCCAGTCTTATAGTTTTTAATAGTTAGTGCCTTAGCAGCTGTAGCATTAAAGCATGGAGCTGATACAAAATGGAAGAGGGACAGTTTTATAGGGTTAAACTATATCGGTTCGCCAGGAGTTGAGTAAACCTTTGGACCGACTATGTTCTGATTAGGCGGCAAAATTCTCATGAATTTTTGAAGTACGGGTACAAAGTGAGAAAACGGCAACTAAACAAGCAATGTTATGCACAAGTGTAGAGATTTAATAATAGCTATTGAACAGCTGTCACAGATTTGTATTTTTTGGCAACTACTGTATATAAAACAGCCTCTGGCCTAAGTATTTGACAGAACATCACTTCAGAAATGACCCGACTATCCCTTTAACTGTACATTAGCATAGCTTTTATGACCCAGAGTTTTACAATCGTATGAAAAAATAAACAGCATCAAAACACTCCTGAGGCCACTGTACATAGGCTTACTTGTCATATTTTTCACATCATGCGGATTAGCAGGTAAGCCCTGCTTTATGTTGAGTTAACACTCGTTGACTCCTTCTGATCAACCTGCAGCTGTCCCTGAGTTCTCAGATTGATCATTCCTGAGATGAGCTGAACCATTAAAAAACTGCAAATGGTTATAAAAACTACAAAACAACAATATATATAAAAATATGGTATATGTGTTCCAAAGCAACTAAACTGAAATATATAAAAACATAATAATGCACTTTACACATGATTAGTGCAGAGTGATGTTGCATTGGTTTTGGCATAGATTTGTATATTAATGGGCTTTTCTTCTAAAAAGCTCATTCTGCACATAAAAAAAAAACAAAGAAAAGAAAAAAAACAACTCACAGTTTATATCAGTCTTCATTAATTTGTACCTATACAGTATGTACTGCATATTCTTACTCTCAGGTTGCAATATATTACTGTTACATTGTAATTAGGCTGAATTAAATTAAGGAAAATGGCAGACATTTACCAAGTACATATGTACAGAGCAACAAGAGTACCTGATAGAAAAGTTACCCAGACTTTTTTTCAAGTCATACAGTTTTTAAAAGACCTGTTTCATTTTTTAAGCTGATCAGCACTTAAAACATTCATTGCTAAAAGGCTTCAGTAGGAGCACAGGGAGAAGCTGCAGCTCTCTTGGATGAAAATAAATAAGTAGAATCGATCTTTTTTTCTTTTCTTTAGTCATTAGAATAATTTTACATATATATATTAATTGGGTGTTAAAGTCTCAATCAGCAACTCCTGTAAAACGGGAGTAAAATTTTTGATTAGCTAGCTAGACCTACATGCTCCTTGCAGGCTGGTTGCTCCTAAACTATTAACCTACGAAGGGTTTTAAGACAGGTCATTTCTTAAATCTACCTAAAAACTGATTCTCGCTAAATTCAAATGAAAACACCAGCCTTCCCACTGACAATATGTCTGATTATGCCTCTTTTTTCTTCTTCTTCGTCTTCCAGGTACTGGGAGGAGAGCTAGCCAAAGATCCTAGTAACTCAGCCCAGGTCAATGTGTTATAATGCCGTTTGTGTATTTAGTATTCTACAAATTAGGATTATTTTAAACAAGTTAACCGTAGTCGTAAAGCAGCAGAATCTTTCAAATCAGCCAATAAAAGTGGACCATTGGTATAAACGTAAAGAATAACTTTAAAATAATGCTATAAAGCAGCATTTTGCTGCCCTCTTTAGATTAGTCAATGGCTCCCAAACTTTTTCTGCTGCCCCCCCTTTGGTTTATAAGGAACCCCCTCCCTCCAATTTTGACATTTTCTGTTGAGCAAAAATTACTTTTTAATCCTCACTTTTTTCAGTGACTGGTGTGAGCCTGCTTGTGGCTGCAGTGCAGATCTTCTCAAACCTTAGTTGTGAGACTGCCACTGTTATGTTTAATGTCCAGCTTTGATCTGGATTTTACGACGGAGCTTTAGGGCCACGCTAAAAAAAAATTAAAAAATAATAACATTGCCATGCTAAGAAAAAATAAATTAAAAGCCATAAAATTACGAGAATAAAGTCGTAGTATTACGAGAATAAAGTCGACTAAAGTCTTATTATTACGAGAATAAAGTTGTACGAGACTTTTTTTTTTTTTTACAGCTGTCGTTATTTATTTTTTCCCACAAGTCGGATCCACGATACGACCTGTCAATCAATCCAGTAGGTGTGTCAGCAAATGACCAATCCGAAGCTAAATGAGTTGTAATATTATCCGAACTCTGACACGATAAAGCAGGGTTTACCGCATTTTAACTGTGGTAAAATGAAGAATGTTTGTTAAAACTTTATTGTCATTGATGCTCTTACTCAAACCTTGTTCCAATACTGCCACCTGCTGTTGTGTTTTTGTATGCTGCTTCGGGAATGCGAATATGTGACGTCATTACGTCATGACTTTCGTTTCCGTTTGAAAACGACGTTCAGTGAGCGAAACTGTGTGTGTGCAGTGCTGTTAGAGGAGGTCTTCAATAAATATGCCAGAAAGAGGCTGAAGAGACCCAGCGACTCACTTATAGGAACATTTAGCTTCGGATTGGTAATTTGCTGACACACCTACTGGATTGATTGACAGGTTGCGCCATGGATCCAATTCGTGGAAAAAAAAAAATAAACGAGCTATTAAAAAAAAAAAGAGTCTCATACGACTTTATTCTCATAATTTTATGGCTTTTAATTTTTTTTTCTTATCGTGGCCCTAAAGCTTTGTCGTAGTATTTTGTCTTGATTGAGGCCACCGCAGAATGTCTATCTTGCATACGGTAATCAGGATGTGGCAAAAAGAAGTAGTATGTTTTACCTAATCTTTCTTCACTCCAATCCAAAATGCAGCCAGTGTCTTTGACTTAAACTGCATATCTATATCACAACTCATCTGCAGTTGTGTGTGTGGCTCTTTACACTGTGCCACTTGGTAGGCAACTTTATATGAGCTTAGTTGGGCATTTGTCGGCAATAATGCAACTTTAGTAAAGAGACCCTGTTGAGCACAGCAGTTTGTGAGTTTTTGTCTGAAAAAATCAACTGACTTGTCTTTGTGCTCTGGATGTTGTCTCCAAGTAGCGCCTTAGCTTATTAGACTTCAAAACTGTCACAAGCTAGCACTTTAAGACAGGCAACACACTGCAGTCCCTCCTTATAACCCACCGTTGTGCAGGTGGAGCAAAAGGCAAGACGTGTTTCGTCATATTTTCTTTCTTTGGCTCGGAGAGAAGTTGATTTGGAAGCATATTTGCCAATGCTTCAGCTTCTGCTTTGTGTTTATGTGGGAGCCCCGTCAAAAATATGTCTAATATACTAGCAGTGTCCAAAAGCATCTTTTTTTTTTCATTCACTCATACTGCCCCACCTGCAATGGTTCTGCACCCCCTATAGGGGTCGTGCACCCCAACTTTGGAAACCACTGGTGTATCTTAACTGACCTGCCTGAAACGATGGCAACATCCACTCACCGCCCGCTTCATTAGGCACACCTGTTCAATTGATTGTTAACATTACAAATAACTAATCAGCCAAACTATTAGGCAAGTAGATGTAGTGACGACGACTCACTGAAGTTCAAACCAAGCATCAGATTGTGAGGTAATGGATTAAAGTTACTTGGATCGTGGCATAAATACTGGTGCCAGATAGGCTGGTCTAAGTATTTAAGAAACTGCTGATTTACTGGGATTTTCATGCACAACTTTCTCCTGGGTTTACAGAAAAATGGTCAGAATGAGAAAATATCCAGTGAGAGGCAGTTGTGTGGACAAACATGCCCAGTTGATGTCAGAGGAGAATTGGCAGACTGGTTCAAGATGTTGCAAAGGCATCCAAAGCTCGAATAATCACTTGTATATAACAAAAGTATGTTGAATACCATCTCTAAATGTACAACCATTGATTGAAACTTGAAGCAGACACACTGCAGCTGCCAAAGACCACACTGAGTGACACTCCTGTACCTAAAAGAGACTGCTTCTGCAGTTTGCTCAGACTAGTCAGAATGAGAAAAGAGATTGAAAAAAATGTTCTGGTCTAACAAGTCCAATGAGATCACCGAAATTCACTGGTGTCCATAGTCACCAGATCTCAGTCCGACTGACATTCACTTGGATGTGGTGAAACTGAAGATTTGTATCGTTCAGACGACAAATCTGCAGCAACTGTGTGATGCTATCATGGCAATGTGGACAGAAATCTCAGAGGAATGTTTCCAACACCTCGTTGAAACGATGTCATGGGATTTAAGGCAGTTCTGAAGGCAAACAAGGATGTACCGGTAATCAGGTATGAGCAAGGTGTACATGATAAAGTGGACAGTGAGTGCATTTCTTACACCGCGATCAGCGGTGAAACTGAAACATTATTCTGCAACCAAGCACACGATCTGCTTATTTAGTCACATTTTAAGTCCCATAAAACAAAGATTGTGAATATTTAGAAACTGTCTCTTTCTATATTTTAACACTGACAAGCAGAGGATGTGTAACTTCTGCAAGTTTGCAAAACAGACAGTCAGCTGAAAACTCAACCACTAAAGAAAGTGACCGAGAGTCCAAGGTGGCAACATTGGTTTTATGCTCATAACTTAATCTCAGATGAGACATGCGCTGTAAAAAATATCTCCTGACCTTTGTTTTTTTTAATGGCACAAACTCATTGTTTTTGTCTTCATTCTGATTCCAACAGGCTTTTTAATTAAAGCCTGTACAGAGCAGCAAAGCAGGTCTGATTTTCAGATGTTGAGCTATTCCTTAAACTGGTATATTACAGATAATTTAAGTTGCATCTGTAGTGCAAAAAAAGACGTGATTCAATCCCAACTAACGTCACCTGTTTTTAAATCTACGTTCCATTTACCGTCATCAGCTTTGATGATGGCTTGGATCAAACATGCACCATTGAGGTAGACCAGACCAACCAGCAAAATGCTGAATGGGAAAACAAAAGGGAGAAAGAAATAACATATAAATGACCAAAAACTGGAAACCACTTTTGGTCCGACATTCATTTGGCCCCCAAAAAAGTAGATGGTCAACTGCAATATTGGCAAATAGTACATTGCCTACACCTATACCCTTGAACCCGTCACAAGTTCTTTATGATGATCACCCCCACCCCCCTGTGAGATATGTAACTGAACATTCATTTCAGTAACTGCAACATCTTTGCCTCGTCAGCAATAAGGTGTAACAGTCAGGAAGGTGATTAACTGGTAAGGCAGCAAAAGTGTAGCTCTACACTAAACACACTACTACGAAAAAGAGAAGCTATAAAACCCACAAGAAAAATGCAGCACCTCTAAAGGGTAATCTTCAAATGCCTGTGAAGATCATTCGTTACGTGGTAAAGTTCTCTACAATCTCCATCACCTCTAACAGCAGTAATTCATACATTTAATACGCTTCCTGAGTGCAATAATACAGCAGTATTCCTGAGTGTTACACCAAATGATAACAATATTACAAAAAAACATTCTTCATGAGTGTTTTTTTTTTTCTACCTGAGGTAATTCCAAAAGCAGCTTCAATAGCTGGGGAGGGGGAGAGTGTCACCCCCCCTCAACCATCGAAGCAGTTTGATTGGCTTCTGTGCTTCAGAGTGACCCGACGTCCCGTTTAATCAGAGGTTTCAGGAGGTGGTGCCGGCTGGCTGTGCTCCCCCTCGTCTGCTTTTAAAGGGGACGGTTTTCCCTGAGAAGCCGGTGAGGACTGTTGTGCTTTGACCGGGCAGCTGGCGACCATGTGGTCAATGCTCTGGCAGAAGTGGCACCTCTTGGGTTGGGGAGGTAACTTGCACTCTTTGGCATGGTGGTCCAGGCCTCCACAGTTGTAGCATCTACAGGAAATAAAGAAGCGCATCACTGCATCAGTAGAGCTGAAAAAACCTTTGTTAGCAGGCCCTCATAAATCTTTAGAAGTACAGTTAAGGTTAAGCATCCCACAGGTGCCATCTTTCTTAACATTTTTCTCCTTTTCTGACAAATATCCTAAATAATTAAAAGTATAAATGGAACTTATCAAACTATAAGCGTTACAATAAACAATAAGCTTTTTGATTTCACCACAAAGTACGAAAACTGCTCAGTGATAATACCTATACAATAGAAAAATTATGTTAAATATAGGTAGTAGTGTAATACTTGGTAAAGCATCGGTTATAGATGTTTGCCAATTGTCCAGAGTTTAAATGGTAAATGGACTGTACTTAAATAGTGCCTTTCTATCTTATCAAGATACTCAAGAGTGCTTTTACACTACAATCTGTGCCTTCATTTTCCCATTCATACAGCACTCTACTAGATCTATACAAAGAATAATCAGTGCTTTATCTAGGGCTGAGTACCAAACTTCGGTTCTTTTATGGTACCGACCTGACCGAACTGCTTCGGTCGGTGTACGTATCAAAATATGCCTCGTCTTTCGGAGTCAAGTTTCGGTGATTGGCTGTAACAAAACCAAGGGTTATGTTACAGCCAATGCCAGTGCAGAAACTTGCAGCACGCAGGAAAAACACATACGTGGTTAAGCCCACAGACGGGGTTCACGTGGTTTCTAAGCGCCTGAGCGTGAAGTTGCTCCGTGTTTGACTGGAAGAAGCGAGGACCGCAGCCTCCTCCTCTCAGTGTTAAAGTCAGCCTGTGGGTGTTACAGAGCCTGAACGGCCTGATTCAAAATCTTCACAACCGGACTCCGCTTTGGACTTCCACCGAGAACGGCTCTGTGTCTGGGATTTCAGCTGGTTACTTTACATTTGTTAACGTTACTGGAGTTTAATATGTGAGTCGTGGTGAGTTAAACTAGGATACATGTAACGCTAACTTTTAGATATTTGTGTGTAGCTTTATTTTATGGCTATCTATGAGGCTAGCTAAAATCAAATGCTAACTAAAGACTGACAGTAACGGATGAAGCTTAGCTTGTGAAAATGTGCTCATTCATTAGGTCAGCTGGTTAAACAGTTCACCTAACGTTCACGGTTTCTCCTCACATGAAGCTCTGACCCTGATGTGAGGAGGACAGACAAAAGAAAAGTGAGAGGAGAGCCAGAGGACAGTCACAAACTTTGTTGTTAAAAGTTTGCTGCCTTTACAGTGGAGGCTTCATGGTGGAGGTAAGTAAGCTGACCAGTTAAGCCTTTATCTCTCAGCCAAGATAATGGTTTTTGAGCAATAAGAACACAACCATGTTATTGTTGTTTTGTGTTCTCATGTCAATTAGGGAGATGATAAGAGCCCTAAATTCCAGAGAACCACAGAGAAGATTCAGGAAGTGACACAGAGGTACAGAAGTCTGCATCAACCTGAATCTCAGTGAATCCAGTGACCCGGTGATGGAATGTGAGGGACACTATGCCAATACTATCAAACTTTGCAACCAGATATCTGTGTGTGCAACAAGAATCATCCACACCCTCAGAGTGATCATTTCCTACTACTGGAAACACCATCAGCTTGTTTGTGTCCAGAGAAAGCAGACATGTTGATTTTTCTGAAGAAAAACTGTTAAGTGAAAAGGTCCTCAGTGTGTAGCAGTGAGCATTAGACACTGAAGTGTCAATGGTTTGAAACTGTTCTTTTGACTTGGAAATTATTTGTTAAATTTTATGTAAGAAAACTGCTTAGAATGGAAAAATACCAAAGTTAAAAAAATAAAACTCAAGATTTGTACTGTAATGTGTAACGTAATTTTCTTCTTGTTAGAATTGATATTAATTATAAAATTAGTACCGAAAAAGTACCGTTTAGGAACCGACCGAATTTTTTAGCAAGGTACCCAGCCCTACATACAGACACAGGTAAAAACATTATTGCCTGCTGCAGCTCAAGCAGATTTCTGATCAGGGGCTTCAAGTTTCACTGGTTTGCCACTTGATGGCAACATTTCACCTGACGTGACCTCAGTTAGCACTGAATCTAAATCTTTAAAAGGGCATTCCAGGGCACAACACACATCTCCAAGATGGGGCTGGACATTTCATGACCATTTATCTCACTTAAATAACACCAATTTTTCACCTAAATGTACAACATCCTTCAAACAAGCAGGAGTTTTTGTAGTGGAGTTGAACATTTTCTGTAGTCTGAATTAGTCACGAACGATCATTAACTCAAGTGTGGTGAGCAGCTTGTCTTATTTGCCAGTTTGACACTGACAGAGGCTTCTGAATAGTCACTATTGTAACAAAGTGTGGCATCCGTTTCATCGGCATTGAACTTTAGAGACGAACGCTCCGTGAGGTCATTTAGAGCCATCGGGGTGCCATCAGCCACCACTGTTCGGACATAATCTATAGAATGGCCACGCGTACAGGGGTGGAAGACAGATGGGTTGTGGGTGTGAGGCAGTTATTATGTGACTTTGCAAACCCCACCCCTCCTTGCCACCTTTGTGATGGCAGATGATGTTTGAACGGGGCGGCTGCTGAGGGGTCAGAATGGCTTTTGTAATGTTGGACGTTGGGAGTGGTGTCAAGGTCTACACCATCACATCACAGAAGCTCCCTACCTCAGCATCCATCAGGAGGAAAGTGGAAGTGGTCCCTTTGTCTAAAAAAGCTGCAGTAATGACCTCTGAACCCTGACCTCCCCCCTCCCCCCAATCCCATTCGAGCCCCCCAGCTCTCTTCCTTTTATTCATACACAGTTGCTATGACAACAATGACCCTTCACCCTCTTGCCTGGGCTCTTGCATCTGTTATCAATTAAATGGACAGGAACGTTTCCCCTTCCTCAGTTTTATATATACATACGCACTCAGAAAGGTGATTTATACAATGTGGGCTTAGACGCACCATGTCTTAATGAGAAAAGCGCAAAACTGGACAGCAGAATTCTTATTAATCATACACAAAATTATGTATTTTTGGTTTGTTGGGTAAAATGCAACCAGTGACTCTTAATTCAAAACTGGTAAACACAATCCAGTGCTGTATAATGAAACATGCATGAAACGCTGGCGTCCTATCCTCGCATCAGTGCAGTGCACGGAGAAATATTGAACCACGGTGGCCTCCCAGGACTCTTTGAGGCCGTAATGATCTCTGTTCTCACACTCACTACTTTCTGGTTGTGATCACAACTGACACGAGGTGAAGCTGATACGTCTTTAACCTCACCTTGTACAAACACTCTAAAACATCCACAAATCCAGGCCTTGGGTAGCTGTTATCTGGATCTTGAAAGGACGCCGTGTTTTGTAACTTATTTTACATTTAGAACTTCAAAATATATTTCTTGAAACTCTGAAATGAACTAAATGACGAGGTACAGGTGAATTGAAATCAACCAACCTCTTTCAGATAAAGGACAAACCCATAGATTATTCCGTAAATTTACAACCTATCTGGAGGTATGTTATTAAAACTGTAATTCTACTTATGAGTTATTAGTTTAGGTTTAGAAAAACGAACGATGTTGGTAGGAGAGGCTTAGTAACAGAAGGGAGAAAGTGGGTTGGTTTTAATTCACCAGGGAGCAGCAGATTTAAACAGTTATTGATCCAGGTCACACGTCAGGCCTGCTGATGTGACCCCATGCTGGAGCTGGAAGTGGGGGGTAGGGTCTGAGGAAAAAGACTAAAAACAGGGAGTAACTACGACAAAATTGTACTGAATACGCCAGGCTCGCGTCTAAAATCTGTAAGAAACTCCAGTAGCCCAAAGCTGATCAGAAAGACATTAATATTTCCACGCTGGTTGAGAAAACTGATCATTTGTAATCAAAATAAACCACTGAAGAGAGTTCTTGTGTTTATGACCAAGAGCCTTAAAATCATTTTATTCTTTAAAACATTGCATATCATTCATGAATTTGTATGTTCTGCAACTACTGTAATTATTTACAATGTTCAACTTCCAAGTTACATTGTTTTTTTTTTATATCTTATCTTAGTTTGCTAGTTTCAGAGTTACATTTATTAAAATATCCTCCCCGTCTTTTCCAGGTCCATCCATGCTCACCTGTCTCCTTTCGAGCGCCGCTTTTGGACCTTTTTGCCTTTGGGTCTCCGCTCGCTGCCCACGCAGTGGATGCCTCCTGGTCCGGTGACTCGCTGCGACTCCAGGCCTTTCGATGATTTCTTGAACGTAAACTCGACTGCCTCGCCTTCCTTCAGGCTGCGGAAACCTTCCATGTGCAACTTGCTCTGAGAGAAAACAAGAAGATGTGTCAGCCTTCAACCGTGCAGTGATAGGGCCGAGATGGGGAAGAGGTAGGGCAGCCGACCTGGAACCAGAAAGTCATGCTTTGACTCCCCACCATGCCCACATGTGTGTGTCCATGTGTGTAACAGTGTCCCTGAGCAAGATGCTCCCCAGGCGTTTACATATAGTTGGTGTATCTCAGGTCAGGTGTGATGAGTTAAATGCAGAGAACCAATTTCGTCATTGCAAGGGAACATATAATGATGACAAGACATAGCACTTTAGTTTAGTCACTTCTGTTTACGCTATAACAACAGGAACAGTCCATAAAAATATAATGATTTGACTGGACTATTGCAATGGTTGATTATCAGTGTCCAAATACTTCTTCAAAAAGTCTTCAGTTGATCCAAAATGCTGCTGCCAGTCTTAACTGGAGTTAGTGGGAGAGATCATATCTCTCCAGTTTTAGTTTCTCTCCATTGGCTCCCTGTCAAATTCAGAATTGAATTCAAAATCTTACTTCTAATCTACAAAGCCTTCAACAACCTAGCTCCATCTTACTTATATTAGAGATCTTATTGTTCCATATTTTCCTAACAGAGCACTTCGCTCTCAGACGGCAGGTTTACTTGCGGTTCCTAGAGTTTCCAAAAGCCGAATGGGAGGAAGATCTTTCAGCCATCAGGCTCCTCTCTTGTGGAACCAACTTCCAGTTTCAGTCTGTGAGGCTGACACATTGACCAGTTTTAAGACTGGGCTTAAGACTTTCCTTTTTGATAAATCCTATAATTGGCTTGTTATGCTGCTATAGGCTTAGACTACTGGAGGAAAACTTGACCTAATTTCCTTAAATTAATTGTTAAAAATGAATAGTTTTCATTTGACACTATTTCTATCTTAACATGTGATTCTTGACCTGCCATTGTGTATCTGTTCCTCCTTCCTGTTCTTCTCAAACCCAGCTGGTTGAAGCAGATGGCGCTTGTCCTGAACCTGGTTCTGCTAAAGGTTTCTTCCTCATGAGGGAGTTTTTTCCTTTCTACTGTCGCCTTCGTGTTTGCTCAAGATGAGAGTTCTGTGATGGAGTTAAATTCAAAGCAGTCTGCTCCTCAGATAAATAATGTTAACTTATTATTTTTATACATGAATGTTTCTGTTCAGTGTCCTGAGATGAGTTCTGTTGTGACTTGGCGCTTTATAAATAAACTGAATTGGACTTTTTGCAAAACTGAAGTGGTGATAATTTGAAATTAAAAAGTCCCCATAATGAACACTTCATGGAGACTTTGACCACTGAGTACAACCCCCCATCCATTCCTAACTGATATCATCAGAGACCAATGACACTAATAAGATAAGATAGAACTTTATCAGGTATCTTTGGTTGCTCCCCATACGTCACCTGATGAACAAATCAGAATGTCAAAGCTTTGTGTCTCAGCTCTGCCCAATGGTCTGTATGCACCCACCCCGCATTACAAAAGCCTCTGTTGCCCCCAGTGCTTCATTTTCTTGTGTTTGAGCGGAAAACCTGGTGAGGATAACCTTCAACCCCGCAACCACCCCACCCCCGACCCCACCGGAGGAACAGCATTCCACACGGCCGCCCCCACCCCCATCGCTCTCTTCCCACCCACATCACAAAGCTTCCACTAACACACTGACCACCAAGGCTAACCCTAAAAAACTACAGGATGCAGAGGTTGGAGCTCATGTTGGGGGTGGGGTGGCTGGGCAGTGAAGCTTCTGCGAGGCTGGGGGGGGGGGGGGGTAAAGGGTGTCAGGGTGACATTCCTCAGATAGTTTGGCAGAAAGATATAAAAGGTATAAACAGAGAAACAAGAGAAGTGACAGATATCTATTGACAACTGTGATAAAAACTCAGTGAACATTAAGTTTTTTGCTTATAGCAACAATAAACCTGGAGGCCTGAGTGCAAAATCACCTATTTATTGGCAACACTCACCTGAAGTTGGGGGGGGGATGTGTCCATCTTTCACAGAAATGGAAGGGAGATAAAGGAAGGAAAGGTGTGGCACAGGTTTGAGAACAAATCCCACAGAGTGGTTAACACGTCATGGGAAACCCCTCTTTAATAATCCCTAGGTGGGACTATAGGATCAAATTGTCACGCACGCTGAAAACTGTTTACACAGGAACATCTAGCTATTAATCCAGCAAGTTTGTTTTGATAGACTGTAATCCTGTTTCTTTGATTCCATTTCGAGCAAAGCTGCCTCCATTTATCACCCGACGAGCCGTCTACGCTCTGTATTTGTGGAAACGTTCAGGAGTCAAACAAAGCACGCAACTTATTGTATGAGGAATAATCTAGCACATGTCTGATAAGAAAACAAGTCGTAAATCTCTGTAGTCTGACATTATTAGAACACGCTCTGCAGCGTGCTTTACAAACAGAACCATGCATTCAACCGCAAGGTGCCATTAAAAGAAGCCCATTCAGAAAAGTGTATTATCAAGAAATGATACAGAACACAGACATCCAGAGGTTTAGGACCACGGGTCTTTCTGTGCTGCTGATTGTTAATCCACTTCCTTTCTCACGTGTGACCACCCCCACCCCCATACCTGACCGCATGGCCACATCCGTTTATTCTCACAGGTACAGGATTAAGATGGGGATCTGTTTTAACATCAAGAACCCCATGTTGAGGCACTATCTGTGGGGTCTACTTCATCATTTTATCAGAATAAGTCTGGAAGCAAAGTGGGACAAAGAAAGACATCAGAGCAGCGAGGGACAATAGTGGGACTTCTGCAAACACAAAAGGGCTCGAGGACGACTGAGGGGGAGCTTCATTTGAATGCGTGTCTCTATTGTCCACCTGCACAAAAGCCAGTGAAGCGTGGGACTCAATTTTTTTCTTGACACGTGGCCACTAATTTCAGGACTGATGCGTTATACATGCTCATGTTTCTACCACTGGTGAAGGAAATGTCTTTGATTTAGGCAGTTCCTAAATTAAAAAACAAAAACTGATTTTCCAAAAGGTGTTCAATACAAAATAAATCATGAAGTAGGAAACGTAGTCTGCATATCTTTTTTTTTTTTTGTCCCTATACACCCTTAAATTAAAAATATTTACACTAATTTTGTGAATAGCCAACTATCCATCCATCCATTATCTTAACTCGCTTCTTCCCTTTCGGTTGTTACACGCAAACAGCCGAAGTGACTGAAAATAATTCAACAATGAAGAGAGTCAGTTTGGATTTGTTACGCATATATACTCAGATTTGGTGAGTAAATTATGCAGATAAGAAATGTTTTGCTTACATTGACTGCAGACCCACAATCCAGGTTTATCCATCAATATATCTGGAAAACTACCAGTATAAACTCATTCAAATTGCACCATTTGATATTCTGACCTTTTTTTTAATGTTTGATTTCGGTACAACCTTCCACGTCCCTTCGTCCCTCCAAAAAAGTATATATATTTTTTAAATTAAATGAAAGACATATAATTGAATATGCTCAATGTTAAACTAAAAGTAACAACCTGCAGAGAAAACCTAATGGATTTTTAAAAACAGCGTTTACGGACAGCCGGCAGAAAAAAATACCTGAACTCAACTTACCCGTCTACTTTTTGTAAGCCTCAGCTCGAACACTAAGCTGCAGGTTTCTACCCTCAACTGAACTTTGTGTTTTTATTTGCAATATGACTAATAAAACACCAACTTCCTGGAACTTGCAGTTAAAAGTCACAACAGCAGCTCTGCATATGCATCATCATCACCCGCCGGCAAGAAAGACTGAAACGTGAGCTGCTTGAAGAAACATGCAAATAGTTGTTAAACGTTTAGTTTTTCAAACGTCTCTGAAAGCATCAGAAGGGCAGCATGTGACCAAGGAAATGCAAGATGAACTAAAAATGTCTTCAAAGAAGTTTACGTACCTCCTTACCACACACACTCAGAGAGAGGGGGGTGGGTTAAGAGCAGACAGCAAAAAGCCTTTAATCACTTTATGACAGGAACTCTGAAGTGAATGAGCTAGTGGGGATTCCTCCCATTCACATGCTAAACCTTTATCTTATCAGACACAACTCACTGGTGAGGAGGAGGGAATGCACCCTCCACCCCTATTGTCACCTCCACCTTTAATGTTTTGGGTAAGATGTTCGCATCTGTGGACATTTTTTAATGTCTAATCACTTCCCACTCCATTCTGACTCCACACACAAAATAAATGTCCCCCAAAATGAATTCTAGACACAGATGTGTTAATGGAGGATCAGTGATGCCTCCTCGTCCTTAAAGGACCAGTTTTCATGCAGCTCAGGAGCACTGGTGTAAGCCTATTAAAGGTGTGTAAGCTTCACTGAATAACAACAACAACAAAAAAAAAAAAAACTTTTCCATGTCTCCATCACGCTGAATTCCTGCTCTAAACAACCAAGGAGGCCTGCTGCAAATCGTGTTTCACCCAAAGCATCCAAAAAGCAAATACAGCCCATCCAGATCTATCAAACTTCCCTTCATTTTGCGTCAAATTTAACAAAAAAAATTATATAAATGTCTGATAATGCGTCACAGGTTGACATTCTCCTGTCTACAAGCTTCACCTTTAAGGTACTTTAATTCGGCTATATTTCCAATTTAACAACTTTACCTCAATAAGAAGGAAGGCACCCCAGATTATTCGGCTCCGTTTGGGAACAGGTGTGAGGACTTTTAGTCAGAATTCAAATGGAGGGAAACAGCATTAGTGGTTGGGTTTCGGTTCCAGCTCGTACCTGATGGACGAACACGTCCACCGGTTCGTCCAGCGCCACTCCGTCCCGGCTGGTCATGGACAGGAACCCGAAGCCCATGCGCACGTTGAACCACTTACACACCCCAGTCCCGTGGAAGGACGGGGAGTCCTCCTCCGTGCTCGGTCCTTCATCCTCCTCAGTCTTGCAAACTCCTTCAGGAAAAAAAACAAACAAAAAAAAAAACAAAAACGCATGGAATTAAAAAAAATAAGACGGAGAGGGAAATTTACGCACAGCATTTAAACAAATATCGCTTTTAAAACTTTGGTTTCTCCTTCACACTAAACCTGCCAATCAATACGGATCAATAACGCAACACAACAGGCTCGGTTTCATTATTTGTGATATTTAAAAACCGAAAAATGGTCAGAATTTTAGCTCAAACTGTGCAACAACAAGTGCGCTTTTTTTTTTATTTAAGAAAACTAACTGCGCCACAGGTTAGTGCCAAGTGATCCTGAGAGCTTATTATTTAAAAACAAACAAACAAGCAAACAAAAACGCATTTCCTGTCCCATGCGTGACCAAACAACGCCTTCCGACGCTCCGGACTCAGCTTCACCATCAAAGTGCAGCGTTTTTTGATGAAGTTACTCCACCTGGGAAGTCCTGGTTGGAAACGGAACCCATGATGTCTTCAGTTCTGCCTTGAGTCCAAACCAGCACTCAAGCCACAGTCTCCGTGTTCCTCTAAACACGCACAGTTTGCCACTTTCACGCAAAATGCGGCGGAAAGCAAGACGCTGCGCAGCGAGAGGGAAAGCGGGAGAGGGAGGTAAACAAAAGGGGGCTGGAAACCTCTTCCCCCACTAAACAATGCGGGTGGGTTAGGGGGAGATTTTTTTTTTAAAACACCCCCCCCCCCCCCCAACACACACACACACCTCCACCCCAATAACATCCCAAACAATGCCCCTCCAGAAGGTGCATTCTTGGAGATAAAACTCCGCAAACATACCTTCTGCCATGTTGGAGAGCCAGCCGGGACTCCCCAGGATTTTGTGTTTTCGGCCCCCACCCTCACAGATGTCTTGATATGTGGCTCCCCCGCAGTGGTCTGCGCTGTTGGAACACGAATGATAAAATTATCCAACAGAACCCCCCATACGCTCGGTCATGTCCACGTGATTACAGTCCCCAAGGATGCAGGCATTGTGGGATGGAGGGGCCAACCAACACCAACCAGGGGCCTCTGATTTGTTTTTATTTATTTATTTATTTATTTATTTATTTATTTATTTATTTATTTATTTATTTATTTATCTCAAGCTTTTAAAGACGATGCAAACTGTGGCATCAGTTTTGACTTTGACACGATTTGGTTCATTTAAATAGTTAAAAACTGATTAAGCTCATTTTAATTAGTGTTTATTAATGAATAAACTATAAACTATGTTTTAATAAACTATGAATAAACTATGTTTTATAGCTGTTTCAACCTAAGATGGCAATTATATAAACTAATCGTTACGCAACTTTCAAAATATTCACTTTGTTTACATTTCTTATTACTTTTTATTTTTTTTTTAAGAAGCTATACATTTCGATTTTCTCCATTAAAATTTTTTATTCGTTTATTTATTTTACTCCCCTAACATCACTGATACAGTTTTAAAAGTTGGGATTCAAAGGCTCGCTTGAGAAGAAAAATGTCCATTATTTTGTTGGTTTCACGCGCACAGGAAGCGTTTAAACCAAGTGGAGCCTCTTGAAATTCCTGATCGATACAGTGATTGATCACATCATGTGAAACTCACGCCTGCAGAATGATGAATGCATTAAAAACAGAATGTTTCCAGCTGGAAGGAAAAAGAGAATCGAAAATAATCGAAGTTTGTTCAAACTGGTTTTTATAGACCTGCTGTGTTTAAAAATAAAAACGACAACAAAAACAGAAACAACTGTTTTTTTTTTTTAATGTATTAAGATTAAAAAAGTAAAAACACAAATTGTGGTTGATCTGCTTTTAAAATACAGAACATTTAGACTTTTATTACTTGAATAAAATATGTCAGCTACAACTAAAGGTTCATTTCGCCTAAATTTATTAAACATCTTAATCAGATCTGAGGAAAAGTTGATTGTTTGGAAATGTCCCACCTCTGGAGCACATGATGAAGCTGAAACAGGACCACAACGACCCCTTGTGGTCCCGCAAACCCGCATTTTTAAATGTCCCTGAATGTTACATAACTCACCCATCATCAAAAAGATTAAAATAACTGGAAAACCTTTGGAATAAATACGGTTTATTTTTGTTCATGCAAATTTTTATTATATAACTTTTATTTCCCTGCTTTATTCTTAGTGTGACGCCTTTTTAAATATAAATTAAATGACTTTTTTGTTTAAAATTTGTTTTAATGAGAAGTTGATCAATCACTTTTTTCCTGTATGAGGTGACTTTCTGTGTAAGGAGGCACTTGCTGCATTTAGGGGGACATAAACATGATGTAAGTGGCGTTTTATGTCGCCTGCAATAGCCCGCAGATAAAACTTTACACTCAAAATTCATTAGTTTTGTTCAACTGCTTAAATTAATTGCACAATAAAGTCCCTTGTGCGTCTGTTTACCACCAACTGTTACATTCTTTTAACATCTAGGTCTGTAAATTTATAATCTATTCGCACTGAGCTGTTAAATTCTGGTCTCGTTTGGACTGAAGTGCCCATTGAATAAGAAAACCTGATTTAATAACGTGTCAGCGAGTTGTGGCAGAGGTCAGTGCTTTTAAAAATGCTGCCCAATGTCCTGGCTCCAAGCCTAAAGCTTCTGGAGCGCACAGCTGAATCCAGGCCACCAGTCTCTGCAGCGATGAGAGGGCATATATTCCATGGATTTAAGTAACTCTAAAGCTTTATTTTATTACAGCACAGAACCTGTTGATAGGCCTAAATTTTCTAATGCCCCAAAAGATCCTTGAATGGCATTTCATTTTGAGCAGTATAAAACATAAAATATTTCAGGTGGTTGTTTTCCTTTGTAATAAGACGTAAACAGCCATAAGAGGAAAACTAATAAATCTAGATATAATCCTGCTTCTTTGTTTTTTTTCTTCTCGCAGCTTTTCACAATTAATCACACTCGGTTGCGTCATTTCCGACAGTCCCTGAAGGCATTGCGGTGCACAGTCTGTTTCAGAAATAGCCACTAGATGGCAGTGTAGGCCACAACGAAGGGTAAATATAGAGGTAATGTAGATTATTCTTTAATTTAAACATTACAATCCTTTACATGGGCTTAAAAGAGTCAGCACATGTTGCGTTGCAAATTAAATGAAAATGTAGATTTTTGTCGTCACTGAGATTTGAGTAGAATGTGAATGTACTAAGGTAAGTAAGTAAATGTGAGAGTCCATAAAGACTCTGTGTAGCACCCATGCAGCAAACTAAAATAGCATGTAATCTTGAAGTTTTCTATCTTCAGGGATAATCATTTTTCTAATAACTCATATAATTTCCTTTGAAACTGACTGATTTATTTATTTATTTATGGTGTGTGTATGTGTGTGCGTGCTGCTGTGGAGTCAGGAAATCCCTTCATATGATGTTTAGCATCATTGTGAAACTTGAGGGTTGCTTTTTTTTTTTAAATATAAGACTGGAATTCCCAATGACATTGTTCTAGACCAGGGGTGTCCACACTTTTTCAGCATGCAAGCTACTTTTAAAATGAACCTCTGGAAACGTTGGTGTTTTTCAATGTTTATTGGGGGTAATAAACAAAAAAAAAAAAAAAAAAATGAGCGGGTTTACTCAAAAACGCTGTAGTTTCCATGTCAGTTGCGTTGCCAGATAAGAATTTATGAACTATATAGTACTGCTGCTTTTACAATGATAGTATTTTGACCTAAACTGTCATATGTGCTGAGTAAAAATACTCTAGATGAGGTGTGTTGTGTTTGTTGAACATGTGCACATAAGGAGGGGGTACATTTTAAATTTATCTGGCAACCCTGATGCAGGGACTTAGCTGCATTCAATGCGCATGCAGCATCTGCTTGATAGTTATGTCCGCACTGGTGAATACGCTAACATCTTTTTGGGCCCTGGATGTAATTAGTTTTGCTCCTACAGGCTGAAAAAGAGTGTGTAGCACACACACACACACACACAAATTCTGCTGTCTGTCATTTATTATAACTGTTGTTAGTGCAGAAAAACTTCTGACTGCAGCCGCCTGTAGTGCGCATGTGCGACTTCACACTTGATGCATTTCACATCTCCATGGAGGGTTCCTTCGAAAATCTCCTCTCTGAGACCTGGAGTCAGAAACTTTCGGTTTCAGAGAGAATGAGGGCTGTTGTCGTGTAAATGAACGGCTGAACTGCAGCAGAAAAGTTGCAGTTTCATGTTGTGTAAATGGGGCCTCAGACTGGCTGCCCTGTATGTCAATCAAGTGACAAATTTCATAGTGAGGATGGATGATGTCTATTTTTTAATGTCATGTATCTCCCCTTAATACCTTCACAGGTAGATCACCACCAACATATTGGGCACCCCAGTTTAAGACTAATACAATTCAAACAGCACTTTCATAAACAAAAAATAGTTTGTTGTAACACTGCCAGGTGATGGATTGTCAAATTTAAACAAACTACACATCAGTTTGAAGTGTTTAAGATGGAAAATTTGAAAATTATAGGTAAAGAAAAAATAAATTCCTCATTGTGATTCATTTTGCCAGAACATGTCACATAAGTTGGTCTCCGTGGAGGGTGCAAAAGCCTCCATGCTGGGTCATTCTAATCCGTGGCACGTTTTACATCTTGTACTGCAATATCGGACAGCATCACCATGGCACCTTGTACATTTTATAAAGCAACACAAGACAGCATCACCATGGCACGTTTTATATCTCATATAGCATAACTGGACAGCAGCACTTTTTATATCTCATACACCTCAGATAAACATGTGGCACATTTGATATCTTATACAGCAACATAGGACAGCGTCACCATGGCACATTTTATATATCATATGGCAACACAGGACAGCATCACTGTGGCAAGTTTTGTATCTCATACACCAACAAACCTGTGGTACATTTTATATCACATATAAAAACACCTCAGATAAACCAGTGGCCAAGGGCGTCAGAAGCATCTGTAATGTGTGGGGGGGTGGGGGGGGGGAGACACAATGATGTGTGTGTCCGCGCGTAAAAAAGTGTACACTAATGTACAAAAAAGCAGCATTTCACCTAAATTTGCTTTAATTCCACACATTTAAAGCATGTTTCTCACCAAGTTTGCGTAAATTCAGCTGTGGGTTAAAAAAAACCCAACATTTTAACTTTAATACACTTTAACACACAGCATCAGATCGGCACTATTCGTCTTTACAGAGAAATAAAAAACATCACCACTAGACTTTTTTTTACTTGCGTTCAACCCTACTCATCTAAAGGAAGTTTCTCACGAAGCTTGAGGACAATAAGGTGTGGGGTTTTAAAGACATTTCAACTTTATTGCACATTTTATTTACGCAGCATCTTTTACACCCGCATGTCCCCTTCTGGTTGGCACGCCTATGCCCGTGGCACATTTTATATCTCATATAACAACAGAGGACGGCCTCATCATGGCACGTTTTACATCTCATACACCAGCGCCTCAGATGAACCCGTGGCACGTTGTGCTTCTCATACAGCAACAGCAACACCGGACAGCATCACGGGTCCGGTCGGGCGGTCGTTCTTTCATCGGATGCTCAGGAGGATGGAGCTGCTTCTGTCTGAGACACAAACAGCTGCTGGAGTCTAAAGATCAGTAATCGATGATCGATCTGTCCTTTGGATACTTTATTATTCACTAAGTCAGCAAAATGAGAGCTAAAGGCTGCAGGAGGAAGTTAGAATTTCCACAGACAGCTGCTCCAAGTTGTTTGTTGCAACTTCACTGGAATGTGTGATTTTTTTAAAAATTAAATAGATTATAGTTTTTGAAAGTGATGCGGGAGCCTTAAAGACAGCGCTCCAGATCAGGACATCATGGCACGGCTCCGGAGGAGGGCGTGCGTCGCGCTCTTTCTTTTCACCCTCTTCATCTTCGGGACTCTGATGGGACTGAGGACCCTGAAACCCAGCGACGGCTTCTCGGATCTGGCTCCGGGCTTGGACCTGCTTCCGATCCTAGGAGGGAAGGCGGACCGCCGCTCGGTGTCCGAGCCCCCGGTCCAACTCCAAGCCCGCGCGCCTGGCAGCAACACCAAAGCGTCCATGTCAGTCTCCGGTCCGGACGGGACGGTGTTTTACGACGTGCACATCTTTTACTACACCTGGTTCGGCAGCCCGCACATGGACGGGAAGTACATCCACTGGGACCACATCCTGGTCCCGCACTGGGACCCCAAGGTCGCGTCCAGCTACCCGAGGGGGAGGCACGCGCCCCCCGAGGACATCGGCTCCAGTTTCTACCCCGAACTGAACCCGTACAGCTCCCGGGACCCGGACGTGTTGGAGTCCCACATGGAGCAGATCGGATCCTCCGCAGCAGGTACCGGCAGCCCGGATGTTGTGGAGGAAAACCATCTGGGGGGGGGGGGGGGGGGCACTGAACATTTCAGCATCGCACAGTCACAGGACAGCTGCTTAGAACCCACACACGCAAACACACAATCTTCATCCCCACATGTTGCTATCAATATCATCTATAACTGTCTGTTAGCAAAATATCTCACGAACCAGCCAACTGATTTTCATAAAACTTTCAGGAAAGTATCAATGCACGTGCCTCTACATCTGTTTAATCTTTGGAGCTAATCCCATTCAAGATGGCTGCTCCAGCCAACTGACCTTAGAGAACACAAACATGGCTAGAACTCATCGTACTACTATCGAGTGAAACCTTGGTCTGGTAGTAGCCGAGAACCATCCCTAACACACACACTATAAGCACAATGCATTGCACATTACCATTGTTCAAATCTTTAGAGTTAACCGTTGTTTGTCTGTTAGCAAAATATCTAACCAGCATGTGGGTAGATTTTAATGAAACTTGCAGAACATTATCACTAGACGTGCAGCTACAACCGATTACCTTTTGGACCCACTCAAGATGGGTCAACACAAAAATGTAGGCAATTAAGTCGGTTTTAGGCGGTGGTAGCTGAGAGTGATTTACAGCAGATACTCTGTGACATATGATGCAAAACGTTATTTACAAGGCTCGACTAAAACAGCCACAACTCTGTCGCTTCGTCACATGAGATGATCATAGTCTAAAACTATGGCATGATTGGTGGCGGGTGATGTGCACTTGTCATTAGTAGGTTTGACTGTCACCAACTATTATGTCTTTTATATAAACCTTAAAAGAGTGCATACAGTTTAAATAAATAAATAAATAAATAAAACCTCCTCCCAGGCTCCAAGCAGCAGCCGGAGTCGACTGCCTGGTGTCAGATAACAGAAGCGACGGTGGCAGCAGCCCACACACGATAGGCCCTGATGTTTGGCTCCCGCAGCTCAGTGGGTTATTGTACACCATCCGGAATGATGAGCGCCGCCATCCAGTCCTCGGAAACCTCATCGCTTTAGCAGATGGATGATGGGAGGGCTGGCTCACAACGCTCCGCTAAAAACAATCCATTTAATTAGACGCAACAGCCAAACTCTGAACCCTCTCACTGGAGGGAATGACTTATTTGCTGCCGCTCTTCTGTCGGGAAAGTAAAATGAATAGCTGTGGCAACAGGCTGCACATAAAGATACGCTGGAATCTAATAATCCACTTGCTTAATGATAAGCATGTACGTTTATTTCTGATTTCACAACAACAACACAAATCTGTCTTCATGTGGATGGCGTCCCAGGCTGATGAGTGTCCAATGTTTCCAGGGGTTCTGGTTCTGTCCTGGTACCCTCCCGGCCTGGCTGATGACAATGGGGAACCCGCTGAGGATCTGGTACCAGCTGTGCTGGATGCTGCATACAGACACAACCTGAAGGTAAAGGCCTTCAGCTCCTTCTCTATAACCATCTGTTTTACCTTGACTCCTGCTAGCAGAAGACAATATCTGACCATTTGTGATGATGATGGTTTCACACACTGTTCAACAAATTTAACCTGCTGTAAAAAAAAAAAAACAAGGCATCAGATAAAACATTAAACACATAATTAAAATTAACAAAAATATAAGATTAGACACGACTAGAAGTTTATCGTGGCTGAAGCAACGGAGAAAAAGGCATTACTAAAATTATTAAACATTGTCTTTGTTAATGCGTGGATAAATGTTAGCAAAATGTCACATGAACCAGTGGATGCTCTTTAGTGACGCTCTCAGAAAGTACCGTATTTTCCAGACTATAAGTCACTCCGGACAATAGGTCGCATCTGTCAAAAAATGCCTCGTGAAGAGGAAAAAGACAATAAATAAGTCGCTTCGGAGTTTACGTCGCATTTATTTAGAAGTGTATTTCACAAAGTGCATGAACAGACATTTAAAGTGAAATAACAATAACACGGAGAACACACCTGGGATCATGAACAGGCTTAATTAACATAACAAGCCAACGAGTCCTCTCGGCTGCAAATGATAACATTTACTCTTTGGTTCATTTCTGTATGGATGAACATTTAACGTGTCAGTCAAAAATTGCGTCATGAATCGGGGAAAATAAGTAAATACTGTATTTTCCGGCCTATAAGTTGCACCTTTTTGCAGGATTTGCATACCCTGTGACTTATTCGTCGAAGCAACGTATTTATGGATTTTTCCCCATATTTATAAACTAAATTTTGGCAGAGATACGACCGTTTACATTCATTCTGACTAAAAATATTGAACACTACCATTTTCAGCCGATAGATGGCACTCGAGTATTATGGCATGCCGTTGTGTCATGTAATAGGTAAAAGTGGCTATTAATGACACAATCGTCTTGCCACAGTAGCCACCTTCGTCCAGCTCTGGCATCATGCTTTCATTTCATTTTGCTGCGCCGCCCCAGCAAAATACAGCTAATTTGACAATTAAAGTGCATTTATTAAATAAAAGTTCAACTGAGACACAACTTTACTATAAAGTTGCGCAAACGAATAATTGTTTTAGATGCTTATCTTGTTAAATTTCAAAGAAATGCGCAGCATTCCTCCTTCCTGATTTCCTCCCTGTCTGCGTGCTCTCGGAGCACCGAGGCAGCGAATACTTTGAAATGCAGCTGATTTGACCATTAAAGCGCATTTATGAAGGAAAAGTTAGACTGAGACACACCTTTACTATAATTTTGAGCAAACAAATAATTGTTTTTAAGTGTTAGTCTTGTTAAAGTCCTCCCTTGCACGCTCCCGTGGCCGCCATTTGGCAGCCTGTCGATTTTTGGCACAACACCGGCCCACATTTCCGGGTTGTCAGCGGTGACGCGTAATAGGTGCGACTATATGGCGAAGTGACTTATGTATGGATTTTTCCAAATTATTAGACATTTTTGGGCAGTTGCGACATATAGGCTGGAAAATACGGTAAGTCGCTTCGGTCTATTAAGTCGCAGGACTGGCCAAACTATGAAAACAGGTGCAACTTATAGTCCAGAACATACGGTAATGATCGGATGTGCACGTCCAACTCAATGTTTTTAGAGTCAACCCTAATCAAGATGGCCGCCATAGCCCATCGGCCTTAGCAAACACAAATACGGCTACATCTCAACGACGTGCTGCAAAAATAAAACTCAGTCTGATAATATTTGTTTTTTGCTGATGCATTAGTAAACAGTTTACCACAATTAAGAATTTTAAAAAGTAGCAATAGGACTTCTGTTTGGTTTTATTGAGAGATGGTCCCAAAACAAAAGTCTCAGTTTCTTCTGGATGTTGGATGAAAATCAAAGTTTTTAAATGAACACGAGTCCACAGGGTGCTCCTCATACTGTACGAGACAAAGTAGTCAGAGCCACGCGTGAGCTCCAACCTGCAGAGCACCAACGATGATTTTAAGGTTTAAAGACTCCCGGCAGTCCCGGTAAAAGCAGGCTTGGGTCACTTGCAGGGTGGCCAGTGGAGCGGCTGACGGGGTCCAGGGTTTATGTAACACCAGAACTTTTGACCAGCTGTCAGAGCGCAGAGTCGGTGATGTTTGAGTGGCGTCAGAGACGATGAGCTTCAGCCTGAAGGGATGTGATGAAGCAGTAACTTCACTGAACCGTTCGGATCAGATCAACGAAATCAGACGATACTTCGATGTATACAGACGAGTTTTCAAACTTCAAACTCTGATTTTTCCTGTTTCTTTATGCAGTATTTCCCCCACCAAGGCTGAGCTGCGGCAGTTTAAAGGCTTAATGCCTTTCAGAAATTAAACTGATCCTAAAAAGATTTTATTTTGATGTTAGATTATCTATAAGTGTGGAAACAGGACAAATGAGAGAAATCCCCATTTATTTTTTAAATCAGCAAAGTTTAGTTCAAAAGAGATTTAAGAGGTTTTCTTTTACTTTAAAGAATAGGGAGATGTTTGCGTCAGTTTGTATAAAAGCTACTTGAAGGAAGTTGTTTCCTTTTTCTAAAACTGACACGAGAGAGAAACAAGCTTTTAAGGAACTCTCGTGCCGAAGCACTTCTCCATGAATAATTCACCAGCTGCATTTCCAGATGTTTAAGTAAAGGAGGACAGAGAACCAGGGGGGTTCTTCAAACTTTTATGAGTTTCTGATATTAATCGACCAGTTAACTAAAACTACATGCGCTGTTTAAAAGTTCTTAATTATGCAAACAATGCATTAACTTATTCATCTCCATTAAGCTCCATTATAAGAAGACTTGATGGTTTCCTGCATTAACCACAGTTTTAAACTGAAAGATTAGCCGTTTGAAATGGCCAAATTCAGATTTAGAAAAAGTTTATGAAAACTGACAGCACGAAAATGAAAGATTTGTGAAGATATTTACCGTGTTTTTCGGATTAAAAGGCGCACTTATAAAGCCTTATAATCCGGTGCGCCTTATGTATTAATTCTGGTTGTGTTTACTGACCTCGAATAGATTTAATGTGGTACACGTTGCTCAAAAATTTGTCAAAATGTACTTGTTTCGCTTAATGCGCCTTATAATCCGCTGCGCTTTATAGTCCAAAAATACGTTATGTTATACATGTATTTTATGGAAATAATCAAATAAAAGTAATTGTAGAGGCGAGTTCTTTCTAATCCAAAGGCTATGAGTCATTTTATTGGGTTATAAAGAAGCAACTTGAAGTTTATACAAGGTGATTTACTACATTTACAGTAGCACAGTCTATTACGTGCCAGTTTGTGTCCTAATGTAGACATGAGGTTAATTCTCCTGCAGAAATATTATAAATTGTCTCCGTCCTCCAATAAACAATAAGGAGCAGGTTTGTGAGGCTCCACTGTCACATTTCAGATTCAATTGATTGTTTTTTGGTTCTGGGAAGAAATTAATTATAATTTCTCTTTGGATGAATCAAAGATATCAGGAATTCTGTTTAAATGACGTGTTTTATTTTCTAGCCAACCTGATGTTTTCATTTAAAAAAAAAAAAGTGGGAATCTCATTGAACGCGTTTCTTTTTTAGTCCAGTGTCACGTCATCATCATGAACCTCTCTCAGAACGTTCTTCTGCAACTGAGTAAATTTTGGAGTCAACTTGATTCAAGATGGCTGCCACAGCCAATCAACCTTAGAAACAAAATAATGCCTAAATCTATGTCCATTGTTACAACCACTGAACAAAAATTAGGCGTAGTAGTAGCTAAATGTCAACCCCAGTACTTTTTCATGCTTCTTCTTCTCATTTTGTTTCTGACTAAAACAAGTACATTTATGTTTTAACTGCTTTTTTTGTTTTTTAGTCCTACATCCTGTCATGATGAGAAGCTCAAATCATTTTACCATTCTGAGTGACCTGAGCGATGTGTTAGTTCAAGAATCTTTATTATCCCCAAGGGGCAATTAGTTTCACAGTCAGTAGTCACACAAACCATCCGTAGTAGACAAGACATTAAAGTAACAGTACAGAAGTCATCAGTGTTCGTTGAGAAGCCTGATCACTACAGGGATGAATGAGTTGTTCAGTCTGTTCGTTCTACATCTGGGCTGCAGATACCTGCGTCCAGAAGGAAGCAACCTGAACTCACCAGGGAGTGGATGATCAGGATCTGCCAGAATCAGCATGGCTTTATTCACTGAGCTCACCTTATGTAGGTCATCGAAGTTCTGTAGGGCCATACCAGCAGTTTTACTGCACATCCTGACAGAGAGGTTGTTCCTGTTTTTGCATGTCGAAAGTCCAAACCAACAGATGAAGGTGAAAGTTAAAAGAGATTCAAGTAAAAAAAAAAAAAGAATAAAACATTCTCATAAAAGTAGAATTATCATTAAAACCAGAGCTTCCGATAAAAATACATTCTGTTGTGGGCCTTCATACAAAGTGAGTTCACATGTGAATCAAAGGTCAGTTTGTCATCAAGAACAGTTCCCAGATATTTATACGGATGCACCACCTCGACAACCTCACCATTAATGACCACAGGAGTGACAGCTGAACAGTCTTATGACCATCTCCTTTGTCTTGGAAACATTTAATTAAAAAAAGGAAGACCATTCAGTGAAGTCCCCGACCACAGGCCCGGGGTCTGGGTCGTCACTACTGACAAGGGACAGGATTACAGAATCATCAGCAAACTTTAAGATGTGACGCTGTGGAAACTGGCAAACGTATTAATTACAGATGTGCATCCAATGATTACAGTGAGAGCATCAACAAAATCTGTTCATTAGTTCATGCAATATTTTGCTAACAAATATGGTTGACGCCAAAGTTTTAGCCAAAGTTGGATTGTGTGTTGGAGATTACTCTCAGCTACTACCACGGGAATTTGAGTCTAATCTCTGTAAAGTTGTCCGAGTTATACCCACCTCTGCTAAGATTTAAACTATATTTTTTATAGATTCAACAAGGCCTCTTGTAGGACTGTAGGATTTATA